TATAATCGAGAATGCAATTTACACCATTTGTAAAAGCGCGAATGTAATTATAGCATAATGTAATTATAGCAAATATAATTATAGCGCGAATTTAATTATAGCATATTTTATCTTTTATTACACAATTTTCAAACAATGCTTTTGACAACAGTTTTATCTTTGCGTTGGATATTGTGCATTGAGAGAATTGTATTTTAAAATTTACTCTGAAAATCATGTTAATCGTAGGACAACACGGTATTTCGACGAATTTTATATGATTTTCACTATTTTTTTAAATATATACTACAACAAATTTATTACAGTATACAGTAAAAAAACAGAGAAAGTCACATAAAATTTGTTGAAATACTATATATAATCCCACAATTAATATGATTTTCAAAATAAATTTTAAAAGGAAATTCTCTCCGTGTGGGTATTTTATTTTAATTACTATTATTGTTTTAACAAAAATTATTAAAAGATTATAATGCAATAATTTTATCGCTATAGAAATATACGTCAAAAGAGCATATGTATTTAATTAAAGAATTCTATCATTTATAAGCTATTGATACCTTCAATCCAGACGGAAATTGAAGAGTATCGGGATTGATGACAACGACTTCGGTATTGGTACCACCGTATTCGGGATGAGTGATACTGTTCCAACATCCTAATGCGAGATCTGATAGAAGACCGAAGAAGAGAACCCCATTCTCGTCCATAGCTTGAGCGGCCGACTGCGATGACCTTTCCATAGCAAATGGACGGAACGACCTTGGCGCAGAGTCGGAATGCTCTTCAAAGAGGCTATAATTCCTAGATATAATGATTGCCCAATTATAAAATGCTATTTATTAGAGTAATCTTTGTGAAAGACAGGGAAAGAATATACATAACAGAGAAGAATTTATATAGGAATATTTATTATTATTTATGTTATTTATTTAATATCTTTATTGCTCTTTATTGACTATTAATTAACTGCGAATATTTACGATTTAAATATAATTAAAGATATTAAAAAATTAATTGAAAATTTTATTTAGAAATGAAGCATCTTATTAAAACATGTAATTATTTTAATTTATTTTTATTTCTTTAATAAATACGTCTAATAAAATGACACGTAAAATGTATCTCAGATATTGTTACGTATTTAAAACAGAAATCATGTAGCAATGAATAATTTTGGTTTATTAATGCCTTTCGTGCATTTTTTCTCACCTGATAGTAGAAGTGGGTACCCAACTTTCGACTCTGCTGGCCAAAGAGTGGAAGTATAAAATTCTATCACCGTCTTGCTTCAGCGGGCTCAAGGCTAGTCCTAAAATGCCATCCATAAGATCGAACGTGTCTCCTTTGATATGGAACGTTCCGTGGGGTGGATAGGGATAAAACAGATTGTTGGTGATCCTCCAGGAGCGGGAGTTGCGGTGATCGTAGACGAGCAATCCGAATCCAGTCACGTCGGCGATGTAGACGAACGTGTCGTGACATCTGTCACCGCTGTTGCGGATGTCGACCGCGATCGTCACGAATAGGGAATCATCCTTGAATTGGTCCTTTGGAAACTTGTACTGGCTCAGGACCTTGTTCGTACGCAATGAAAATGACAGCAATTGAGGACGACAGATCTGCCGATCCTCGAGTTTGCCGGTGTCGATGACCCACAACCTGTCGCACGAGTCCACCTGTGATCATAGCTTTCTCTGTAGTTTATATTTTTCTTTAATTATTTCTTAAAAGTAAGACTGCATATCGTTGATCCGTAGAAAAATTTGTCAGAGATATAAAATTAGACAATAATTAAAATTTTAATATATGTATTATTCAAAATCAGAATAATATATAGGTAATTATTAAATTTTAAACTTTAACAAATGTTATTCACGCGTAATTTGCGATATTTTTAATGCTATATTAAAAAAGAGATACAATTTAGTTTCTTTATATATACAATATAGATATACCGGTTATCCCAGATTTCTTACTTTTTTTAACTTTCTTTAATAAATTCTTGACTAAATTTGCAGTTGATTTTTTAAAATAAAACTCAATGATTCCTGATTTATGCCATTTTTAATGTAACAATCGTAAGATAACGTATAATTATAATCTAAGCATTCACTTTCCAAGTTTTCCTTATCGCGCTATCTCTTAATATAAATTTCAATAAGCAGTTTTAGTTTATCCACTTACAATAAAGATAACCCATTTCTTGGTTCTTTATCATGTTTATATAGTTTCTGCATTGTTCATGATTAGCATGAAAATCATAATGCTATTGTAAATCAAGCAACTGCGAGGCGTGATAATAACGGAAGAGATAATTTATACGCGCGTTGTGCTCACAGCATTCTCTTTCATGGAAAGCCTTTTAAATAAATATATATGTATATTACGCGTTTCTACAGGTACAGGATGTTTTATATCACAAATTATTTTTGTGCGTATAATTTATAATATTTATAATATTCAGATAAAGATACTTTAAAAAGAACCATATTTTTTGTTACAAGATTATAATTTTTAATGTTTATATTCAAAACTAAATAAATTTTTCTTCATTTGCTAAATAATATATAACAAATATTTATTAATATATTTTTTATGTTATCAGGATCCGCTGATAAATAATAGAATTATATAATGGGTGTGTGTTTTATCGGCACTCACATTTTTTAGCCTCGATCGGAATATCAGCAAAAAGCATTGTTCCGAATCGCGCGTATTGTACGTAATGATAAGGTATAGGCACTACGATCTCCCTAGTTGACGTTACAATCTCATTGTGAGGAAGATATCGAAAAGCGTGCTTCCTGCATTGTTGTGATCAATGTTAGCAATTACGATAATTTATTGTTGTGTCCTTTATGAGAATTTCCGTGTGCGCGTTACACGGTCGGTTTGTCATCCAAGTTTCTCGAATAGTAATGAATGTGTTATCGTCACGCGACGTATGTTTATCTATTTCAATGAGTGAGGTGCGATTGCCGATAATAAGACGGAAAGATTCTTAACTAAGACTTGTAGATCCGGTTGCGCCAGTAATTGTAAATTGAAGTGAGGATTGACGTGCGATAAATTACCAATTTTCTTTTCAGATTACGCGCGGTTACCATAGTCATATCGCGGAAATGAAGTCAAATTCATTTGATCGAAAATAACGTTAAGTCATTGCTGTACAATTTCTAATGTCACTTGTCGGAAACAGTCGCAGGATCAATTAATACGATGTTACAAATTCATTTGATCGAAAATAACGTTGAGTCATTGCTGTACCATTTCTAATGTCAATCTTGTCGGAAACAAGCGCAGGATTAATTAATACGATGTTACAATACAATATTATTAAGTTGCGTCAGCGACTGGTTATTGATCCAATTTACAAGTACAATTTTCTCGCCGTTACCTGCACTCTGAACACACTGGTCATCGCATCGCAATGTCCCAATCTGTTCCATTCCCAGCTTGGATAAGGCGCAATTAACGGATTTCCCTCAGAAGAGACGTCATTCGTGACGTAACCGAGGGTGACCGGAATCCCGTTTTGAATCCTAGGTATCGTGATGAAGACTACGGATCCATGTTTTGCTACGCATTTATTAAACTGACTGTTAACTGTTATGCAAAACGACTTAAACGAACTAATTTGTCAGATAATAGGTAAGGCTATTTTAATTAAGCAATCGTGAAATGAAAAAATTTTAATGGAAATCTCTCCTTTAGTTTTGTTACAGAATGATTTATGTAATGCTTGTATTTAAGTCAAATTGTTAATGTTGCTCACATGCTTCAAAAATGTAAACATGTATTATGTCTTTATAACACATGCTTTATATCATTAAATATTCTATATATTCTTTTACTTCTTTACTTTCTATACTATATCTTTTAAGAATACTGAATTAATAATACTGAAAGACTGCAATTGTACAATGAAGTTAAATAAAATTCGTATTTACGTAAACTTTCTGGTTCATAATAATCTGATTAATTGTCTGTCAAGGCAATTCAAATTATAATATAGAACAATATGAAAATTAGTATATTCTTACGTATGATAAAATTACGCAAAAATTATGCAAACATGTTATCGTAAAAAATTTTCGTTACTTAAGAAGTTTCGTTGCCTAAAATGAATAAACAATGAAGCAACGTGAAGCATTCCAGCACGAATTGTTAGATCACAATCGATCAATTACGCGATCGCGATTAAACCTCCATTGTAAAAAGCTGCGATTATACAAATAATATAATTCTCCAATTAACAATCTTCAATTAACTCGATTTTATAAAATAAAAGAGTAGTTTATCAAAGCAATAATAACTTTGTTTTAAAGTTACATTTATATATAGCTTACAACTTTAGTTTTAATTTTAAAAATGGAATAGTAAATATCAAGTTATTAATCGGACATAAAATCGAAAGTGAAAGATCAGTTTATTAGTATTTTGCAACGCAAATGATTTGCAACGATTTTAAATATGCGTTTGTGGAGTAATACAAAAAATTTATAACCTCTGTGATAAAAATCCACGTCGATCGGTACCGGTGCCCCAGGAATAAAACGGCCTTCTTGTATAGCAAGATCTCTTGCATTTTCATTTGGGAAGGCAAATTCTAGAGCCTTCCAGGAATATAAACCTTTCAATCTCTCAATGCTGGCGCATCTTTCCAAGAGCAGGAACGGTATAATAAAATTTATAAAACGATATAATAACTGGATCAGTCCAAACCTCATCATGAATCTGTAAACAAGTTTTATCATTTATCTTTTAAGAAGAAAAACACTAACGTTGCATTCATAATGTACGATAAATATATTTTTTCTTAATTCTATAGTTACTGAGATTTATTAAATAATATACGTATTTTTTCAATATAACTTATAGCATGGAGTTTTCAAAATGTATTATAATGTAATATAATCAATATTTTTTAACAATTTTTAAATTTCTTTTGCAAAAATCTGCATGCACTAAATGTTATTAGAAACTTCTTAATTAAAAAGTTTATACTTCTCATACATAAGACGGTGCGTTGTTACATATTTAAAACAAGATGGAATCGGGAATTAAATGTCAGATGTCGAACGTGTTTATACGTGCTTCAAGTACGAGCGATTGGTGTTTCAAATTAGTTTAGTTATTGCACTTTCTAACCTTATAGACTTTCACCGAAGAAATTCCATGATAAAATTTGATAATGAAAATGGAGTTAATTAATTATCGTTAATACAAAAAATGTACTTCAATGTTTCATTGACCTTATCTCCTACAAGCATATATTCGTAAAAAAATAGATCATTGTTTTTATTTAACTTTCCTTGATATTAATTTTTGTACATTACCGAAAAGAATAAAAAATAAAAAAGCTGATAACAATTTGTGATAACAAAAAGTTATTAAAAAATTTGATATTAATAATGCAAGTGTACTAGAATAATTTACAGTCATCAAATTTCAAATTTTAACAAATTTATTAACAATTAATTCTCAAATGTAATTATTAACCATCATAGAAAGTATCGTTTATATGTTTATATCTTTTAAATAGAAAACTTCCTTTTATTCTGTAAAGAATTAATCACAATATAGAGATAATGTTTTTTATAAATTTTGTCATAGATTTCTAACATTTTACAATTTCACTAATCTACAGATTAATTTCCCTTATTACTGCTGGCAGAAGTGCTTATCAGGAAGATTATTCTTAAGAAAATAATGTTTCTTATATCAAATCTTCAGAGATATTGAAAATATTTGCAATGCCTATATGTTTACAGAATTTTTTGATAAATGTTTTTTACCTCTCTGTCGATATTATTTGGTTTTATCTTCAGTGACGAATTCACAGATTTTTGAATACTTCTTCGTGACCGTGGCACTCAGTGATAACACGACACAGTTTTACGCAGTAAACACGACAATCGTTTCTTCGTCTCCAAATTCGACGAAGGCACCGACTTGCAACGAAGTTCTTGCCCGTTCTTTCGTAAACACGAGTATCGTTAAAGAGGCGGCCGGTCTTTTTTCCTTCTTTCCTCGGCACTTTCACTGTCACGGATAGAGAAGTTCGGAGGCGGTTGTTATACTCGCTAGCGTTACCGATTAATATTTAACGAAACGCTTTTCTCCTTATTTCCTCTGTTTTCCGGATGTCGGTACTTCAATTTTGTGATCATTCACGATATCAGAATATACCTTCTTTTTATCTTCTCGTAGTTTTCTCTTTTCTTAAGATATTCTCAATGCGTTAAGATATCGTTGTATATTGTAACAGAGAGAACTCGACGAGTGTGCAGCCAGCGCGACACTCTCTAGCGTCGCTCTGATCGTTTCACGCGGTTGATTATTCAATGTTATTTCAATGTGAATGATAATTCGGGAGGTTAGACGAGATGTCCTGGTCCCGCACGCTCCGGACTACGAGACGACCGAGGGACGACTGCGAGATTTCTCAAGGCGGCGCGTAACTTTTCACGCGTTCGCGTTCCGAACATCTCCGCTCCACCGGAACAGAAAAGTCCAAAGGGAGGTGGTTGCTTTAGCTGTCTGTCGTGACGAAGATAAGATTGCCGTTTGAGGTCATGGTACGCAAGTGAAGTGTACGGCAAGTGTTTTACTACATAAATTACGCACGCGACTGGAAAAATCAACAAACCTAGATGCAGTGACGAAACCGACTGAGTCCATATATCTTTAAAGAGGAAAGAAACTAAAATAAGTCTGTTGTGCACGCAATTATTTTTTAACGTCACGCTATGTTGTACTGCTACTTAAACATTGCGATGAAAAGCCGCACGGAACGACTGTTGACTACGATTTGTGATTTGGAAGCAACTTTTCGATGGAGACTGCGTAAAAAATAAAAACATCCGTTTTAAATCCGGTTCTATCAAATTTAAATTTCATCGCGAATGATTTGTGTAAAACCAACCACGAGATATCTACACTATGTTGCGCATCCTTTTTTAAAGCCCGAATAAATGTCTCATTAATTTCAAAATATTGCGACTGTTTTATGAAGCTATTCTCATTTCCACATGTATCTTGAATATTTAAACGCGGATAAATAAAAAATTGTTTTAACTCTTAAAATAGTCCTAAATCTTTTGTGTACATGATATAAAAAAGTAACTTAATAAAAAATATAAATGTTAAAAAGTAATACTGTAAATATAAAAAACTTTTTATGGCACGAGATGGAATTGTTTTTAATTCATAACGTATACGTACACACACATAAATAAACACTAAATTATCAAATATTCATTCAACTTTATTGATACTTTGTATACGTTAACATAAAAGCTCGTTTTTTAATAGATATAAACGACCGATATTTCAGAAGTTTAATGTGTCATTCAGTCGACGATTTAAAAGAAATACGCCTTTTCAACGTAGAGACACTATTTCGACTTCGTCTCATTATTATCTCGTTTTTATTATCACTTGAATCTACCGGCATTTTAGCAGGTTTCAACAAGAAGGACGATGAGGCAAACGATGATGTCACTCGAGTAATGGATACTACTATTCTGCATAAATGTTTTTTTTTCTAGTATGATTTGTCAGCGTTTTTTGAAATCAATAGAGAAGTATGTACAAAAGACGTCTGCGTATACAATAGACATGTTGCGTATTTTGCATCTTGGCCATTTGCATTCCGCTCATTCGTCATTATGGGAGACTCTAACACGTAATTCTGACGACAATTATCTCGTTTTTCTCGATAAAACAAATAACCTTCGATTGTAAGCCGAAATAAAATGACGTGTGTGGAAATAATGACTAGTGATGTTTTACCACCTGCGTATGCGTATATGCAATACAAATGATAACAGTCATAATTGTGTGCAAAGTGCATTAAAAAATTAATTTATTTGACAGTTATTTTAGATATGTATAGGAAATAAATTATTTAACTGAGTAATTAACAGAAATTATATTAGCAAAAATATATATTTATAGTACTGTTAATGATCTCACTTTTATATACGCTAACAGGAGAAGAAAAATGATTTATGTAAAAAAAAATATGCATTTTTATTTTAAAACACGATATCCTCTTGAGTGATCGTATAATTTCGCTTGCCTCACAAAAGGTAATCAATTTCAAAGCACTAGTAAAAAAATGTATTTTTGTTCGTAATAATTTTGAAGAAAAAACGGCTTGTAATATTTTACACGGAGTACTCATATATAATTTGTTGTAAAATTATACGTATGTAATTACTTAAATGTATAACTAACAATAAAATTTATTTAATGTCACAGACTGACAGATTGTAAATACGCTTCGAGTCAATTAAAAAAATATATATAATCGCAATATAATTTATTTAGCAAATTAATGGCAGCAAGACATGTATTTTATTAAATTAGCAAGACATCTGCATTACAAAAATATTGAAATATTACAACTGATTAATTGCATATTGCATATGTAATAGGACACGACCTTTTGAGAGCATAACTTTCACTACATCTTTAAGAAAAAAATGTTACTATTAATTATACCTGTTACTTATTAATTATAATCTCCTAATCTCTCGTTTATTTATCGCTTGATATTAAATTTGTATGCCATCCGTAGCCATAATTTAATTGAAGGAATAGGTGCTCTCTCGATGCATCTTTCTCAATACGAAAACTGGAACGGGACATTAGACAGATCTATAGATCTAGCTCATCATTTTATTTTATATATCTTTAAGTCGTTTTATTTGTCACTTTATCTTTAATCTCTCATGACAATTGTTATTTATGTACAAATCTATATTTATATAAATTTTAACTCTCGGATTAACTTTAGAAACGGAAAATTTATGAAAAGACGCGTTATTTATAAATTTAAAAAACTATTAAATATTACTAAGATATCACAAAACATCACAAACCTTCGATGAAAATAAATTATTAAGCATATCTTAGGCTGCAATTGCCAAAGAATGCGAACGCCGATATTACGTACAGAAGAATTTGCGAACTTGGCAATATTGAGTTAAACCTAGTTTTCCGACGAACTTTTAAGCAATTTTTAAGTAAGAATAGCGTACTTCAATTAATTAATTTACGTGAAATTAATATAATTGTTTAAAATATTTAGTAATGAGACAATCGGTATTAAAACAATCTGAAATTATTGAATATATTTCTAAGAAAAGACCAAGTTTGATAAAATAATCTTTTATTTTTTATCTTTTTTAAAACATTAAAATCATATAAAATTCTAAAAGCATTATTTTCTATAAATACTAAATTAAAATATCTTGAAACGTTTATGATATTTATGACTGTCAAATTGGTTAATTGTGATAGGATTAAAGCTTTTTATTAGGTTTCTTAAGTTCAGAATATCTTAACGAAAAGTATATATTTCATAAAAACTTTTTTTTTATAATAATATTTTAATTGTAAAAATTTTATATAGCATTTTCTTTTCTCTAGATATTTTTTATTACATTTTTATCATAAATATATTTTCAAAATTATATTCTACCGAATCGAGATAGTAGTAATATCATCGGTAAACGGTGATATTTAATTCTTATGAACAATATTCTCTGCTGTCATAATTTTTTCAATCTGAGCACTTTTACGCCAATATTTTTTTTTTAGAATCCTAGAGTATTATTATAGTAATGTGAAGAATATGGGTCAATCTGCTGATTAAAAGAAGTCAGCGCTTGGTTATCCATTTTGATTCTCATGATGCGGATGTTCATCTGACGATTATCAATCTGTCTCAGGAAGAACTTGTGAAATCTTGACGACATTATCCAAAAATTACCATTGTCATATCTTGCCCATAAAATCTCGGCAGTAAATTGTAATTTTTCTGGACTAAATGCGAGTATCCTGAAAAAAAGAATAAGTGAGAGATAACAAAATTATTTCTATTATAATTGTAATTATAAAAAATATAAAAATTATAACTCTGATGATATGATGATATATGTATTATACTATTATTACAATAATTTTTCGTAATGATAACAGTGTGGAACATCATTGTGCATCACGAGTGTGATGTGAATAATCATTTCTAACGTATTTTTCCTGTTGAACAAATCCGTTGGCAAAAGTTGGGTATCACGTCACAATTTTGAGAAAAATGCGTCAATGAGGTCAAAAACAATTTCATTTTTCTTAAAATTGTGACGTGATAGCTAACTTTTGTCAATTATTCACACTCGTGATGCAAAAAAACCTCAAATTTTGTTGTACAGTATAATACAATCAATTCTCTCTTAATTAACTTTAGCGTTTAACAAATTTCGATCATGAAAGTTAGAAACTGCCAATCAAATTATATAAATAAATATTAGGGAAGTCTGATAGAGCAATCAATATATTTTTTATAAACGAAGATATTATGGAAAAATAAATATGGAAATACGAGGATAAAGAAATGAAATATTTGCAGTAGTCTTTCTCTTTTTGTAACAAAAATAATAAAGAAAATGTTTCCGCGATTAAAAATGATTACCATAGCAAATTCGTTTTCCTTATGGGAATTGATAATAGTTCGACACTGTTCTACAAGTTTATATAGGATCGATATATACAGTGCATTCACTTTGGCACAGTCGTAACCAACAGTGTGGCGACCATTTCATTAAAGCGGAACCGGTTTGCGTGACATAGTATGCAACCGCTTCAAGATTCTTATAGACCTTGTTGTTTTCCCGATTGTAAATTTGTTATATAACATTGTTCTTATAATAATATATCAATATATAGAATAAACCGGAATACAAGAAAAATATACTTCTTAATAAGAATAATAAGCATTAATTCTGAACGCACATGTTAGAGTGACTTAACACTGCATAACATTACCTAATAAATTTTTTTTTGAATGATGTAATTATATTTATAAGAATACATATTTCGTATATATACATATAAAATTTTCGCACCTCTGCTGATTTGTTTGCGGTTGCCACGAAGCGATCGCGGTCTCGGTAAAGGGCGAGAATAAGATCGAGTCATCCTGAGGATTCACGGCCAGTGCCAGACCTTGACTCGACTTTCTGCCGACCAAGGTCACAGGTAACTGTTCACCGAAAGGTAGCGGACCGGCTTGGAGAGCCGAGGTGGGCACGCTGAAGATACGATCTGTTGCCAGAGGTTGATAGTAGACGATCCCGAGTTTCGGTGAAAATGTTATTCCCACTATGCCGTCTAAGAACTCGAAAGTGTCTTTTCCGATCTAGAAAAATGCCCAGTTAATGTTTGACAGATATGTATGTTTAATTGGAGAAATTTTACATATAATAAAATATATTACATGTATTATGTATATCATGTAGAGTAGTCAGGAAAATTTTCCGCGATCTTATAAAATATAATAACAAGAGATTTAAACTATGCATCGATTATAATATCAATTATAATGACAAGATTTAAGATGTACACAAACTTTTTTATTCTAGTTGTTATTGTTGCAGAAGGAAATAAATTATAAATTTTACAACTAATTATTGAGATATATTTCTTACATGTAAATTAATTTTATATTTTATCAGAAGAGATTGTAAATATTGAAAAATTTATTTATTAAAAGATTAAATCGCAGCAGTAAATGACAGAACAATAATTAAATAATAAAAAATACATTTGTAATACCATTTAATTTACTACCATATCTTTTATAAGCAAAAGAGATCACGTTGAATTTAATTATTAATACAAATTAATTTTTAATTAATTCATATTTTCCTAAATTTTAAGATACGAAACTCTTGTACTTACTCTGTACATTGCTTCATCTGGATTAGGAAACATGGATGAATGAACGACTCTCCAACTTCTATCTCTACCACCATCGAAGATAAGAATTCCTGGAAAAGTAATTAAGATCTTTGTGATCTTTGTGAGAAGATTCTTCGAGAATTTGTAAGAAAAAATATTTTTTATTTGCAATTTTAAGTTAAAATTTAATTAACGATTTTAATAACTCTGAAAAAGATATAGAAATTAGCGCCGATAGAATAGCGATATACGGATACATGCAATTAGTGAGCGAATTATTTATGATTTAATTTCTCTTTTGAATTTTATTGGAAGTTTTAGAAGAAAGTGAACGAGAGCGTTTGAAAAATCAATCTCAAACATGAGAAAACAAATACTATGCTTATCATTCGTTTTTTGGATGCATTTAAATTGCAAAGTAAAATGTAGAATATTATACATGTGTTTGTTGAAATCGATTTGACCAAGAAAATTGATAAGAAATCATTAAATCTAAAATATGGTCTATAAATAATCTTAAAATGTCTTTAATTAACAATTCAATTAAAAAGTTGTATAACCTGGACCGAGTGTGTCAGTCATGTAGAGAAATACGTCATCGCAGGTTTTCGCCGAGACTTCATCGATGACAACGTTGGTCAGCAAAGAATCCGGTCTCAGCACCTAAAGAAAAAGACGTACACGACAATGATTGCTTGGAACAATTACTTTTACGTAACCCTGCGCAAAAATATCTTAAATGCAACCTGTTTTTCAGGCCAGATTGAAAGATCACCAGTGAATGATCACTGTCTCTATGCTTATTTTCAAGCATCACATAAATCCAGCAAATAGCAATATAAAATTGCACGTGAAACCGGTTTTTTGATTATTCTACAATTAAACCGATCGTACTGATCATTTACAAACGATTTCGTCACATCTGACATTCTCCTTTCATTGCTAATTTTAATAATATATTTTACATAAGCAAACAATATATTGGAAAATTTTAATTTCAATTAAATAATATTATTTTTATTGAAGAAGAAATATTTCTTTAAGAGACAAAATAATAATTTTCGTAAACGTTGCATAAATTCTTGCATAAATTGTCCTTTTATATACGTCTATTTTTTTCACATACACACACACACACACATCTTTATTTCTACATTTCTAGATTTATTTGATTTTCTAAATGCGCGACCACACAGAGCTAAATCACCTTCATTGATGTATCCATTCTACACTTTATCGCGAAAGATCGTCGCTCTGCTCACCTCACGCGGAAAAGTGACGTGACGGACCACTTGATCGGTTTTTAAGTCGAAGACCACAATTTTCGGCGGGCAAACGGGCATGAAATCGTCAATCGATGTCATGACGCCAGCGTCAACGACCCACAGTCGGTCGCATCTGTCCAGCCTGGTACGATACACCGAGATCAGCTTGGTGCAGTTGATCTCTCCTTTTCCGGCACCGTGCCAGTCCCACGAGGGATACGCCTGAAGCTGCGGACTGCTGCCCAACGGTACCTTCCTGGGGAAGAAGCTCAGGGTGGCCGGTACGCCAGCACGTAACCTGGGAGTGCTCACGAAGATTCTGTTCCAGGTTATCTCGATCCCGGTCATCACTATATTTTCCGGTTGGTACTGAAAGCCGCGCTCGTTCGGCAGCAAGAATTCCAGCAGCGGCCATTGCGCTACGGTTTCCAACGTTCCCGCCTTCGTCCTGACGCACAACAGCGACAAAACTGTCGCAAGGAACATGTACCTGCGAAAATTTAAGAAACGAACGGACAATTAATTAATTAATTAATTTAAATAAACACTGCAGTTATTTTTAAAACAGTTACATATTGGAATATTCCGCAAAAAGCATAGATAGCTTTAATCATAATTTGATATCCTCTTTTGTAGGAGATATATTATTAAATTATCTTTTGAAACTTTCTTTAACAGGCAAGAGTTTTGACAAATTTATTTGTAAAAAAATCCGATTGTTGAGCGAATTAAATTTAGATTGCGAGTATCACGTGAAAATAAACGCAAGACCTCGATCATCCTGCCTGTATTCCGGAATTGAATTATTCTGTTTACCGTTTTCATATCCGTTACTCACCTCATGTTGCAAGGCTAAAGGCTAAAATACGGTAAGTGGAGGCCTCAGCCGCACTGCTGCAATCACTCGCACGAGAAGCGATGAACGGGAACAATATAATCGGATCGGATTGAATACCAGCCGCGCGGTACCACCGTCAACTGTCGCGAGGAGACGTATATGCACGGGTGTGTACCACAAGTTCTACCGACCGAACACCGACTGATCCAATTTTCTAGCATCGGCCCGCTAGAACTTGTTGACTCCCTAAGAGACAGGGTACCACAACTCGAATGCATTGTGTAACGAGACGCGCATGTACTTTTACTCGTACGCACAATCGTATACGCTCTATCGAGGGGCTGCTCAACACGCCTACACGATCAAGACCATTCCAGGACTTCGGAGTTTAATGCAAACGCCGGCCAGTCTCGCGCAAATCTCTTCTCGCAAGGCGGCGAAGAAAGTGGCTCGTGACTGGCTTACTCGCCGGCCCGCATATTTCCCTAACTTCCGTAAGTCAAAAAGTTAATCCTTTCTCGTGATACCGTGGAAACTTGAAAATTCCTCGCGTACATTTCGATGCACGATGAAGATTTCTTTGGATCCAATAACAACTTTGTTACAATAAGGCTTTACAGTTTTATGTTTTTATTTTTAACTCCGAATATACATCGGTTTTGATTAGAATTTGTGTAATAAAAATGTTAGATTAAACGTTGACGATTGAAAATTGCAAACTTCACGATTCTTTACGATCCACCGAAAAAAAAAAACTGTACACTCGTTCTGCGACACACACTGCATAACGCGAAGGAGTTTCGCTCGCTCGTGACGGAACACGCGGTATAAAGCATCGATGATCGGCTTCAACCGCTAGTAAACTGCTGTGCGATATTACGAAACACCATAAAAAATAGTGTACAAAATGGCACTTATTAGCGCTTGTGCTGTAGAATTATAACGGTTACGTAGACGTCCTTGGCTGGTCTCGATCGAAAGTGCCCGGAACTAAAGACCGCGCCCATTATCACAAATACAATTTACGTTTCGGACACGATAATTGCGAATCAGGGAGCAAAGGACAAACGATCTCGGTCGTGGCCATTGTTCCGTGATTTTTCTTTTCCTGACTTATTTATGTCGTTACTCCCTTTGCGGCGAATGTGCATTGCTCGCGGAGTCAAAGTGGCTTGATTCCTCGAGCGAAATTTTGTTGAAACCTTTTTCAAATAAATTGGAAATGATCGGATCGATAGAAACGATTGGAATGCATTTCGCACGGAATCTCTCCTCTCTTTCTTCATGGCGAACGTACTTTCCATATTTGAAAAAATATCAAGATATATTTGAAATTCATTTTCTAACAAGTCGCAACGTTTTTTTTTCTTTTTTAATTTTTCCAGACTCTTCTTGTGCGAGTCTCTTATATTCTGTATACATCGCGTACTGATTCCGGATACCAATCTTTATATATCTGACCAATAAATCACTTTCTCTCTCCGTGTAACAGAGCACTTGAGCATGCATACCTGCCTAGCCTATTCTTTGTACTCCTAAGTCTTTTGCATTTTTATATCTAATACTTAGACTCAAGCTACTGTATATATTTTACGAGGATAGATTTATAATCTTTTAGAATGTAGTTTAACCGAGTTAGAAATTCTTCCGTAACATTAGAAAGGCTTCTCGAAATATTGCAAGATGATGAATTCACTGTTCTATATGACACATAGAATGCTTACTCTCTAAATTTTTTGGAGTGAGATTTACTCCAAAAGAGTGAAAATTCGCTCCAAAAAAGTGAAAGTCACTCCAGAAAATTTAGAGAGTAGAATGCTTCAAATGCTATATTTTATATATAACAAAAATTCTTTAATTTTTACGTAAAGTTCTTTCGACGTAAAAATCATTTTAAGATTAGAACGCGCTTCCTTTTTCTTCTTTTCTTTTCTCTCCTTTGTAACAGCTCGAATTTTCTGCAGCATCACGACTGATCTAAAAGCTGACTTAACGTGATCTTTCGCCAGCAAGGCGCGCGATTGTTAACAATCGTAACTGGATATTATTCAGGGCGGAATATAGAAGGGGCAGGGAACCGAGGTGGACGGAATAATACGGTAGTGCTCGATTACCGGGTGTACGGTTTGCAACGTGTGTTTCGTTAGAGATCGAATATTTCGTTGTTGCTCAATACGTCGCGTGGAACACTATGGGAAATACACCATAGTGCACAGGAACGATCACGACTGCCCACTGTTCCCACGACGAAGCGGAAGCGGGTCACCATCGACCTGCAACGCGACGGCTTAGATCGACAAGCAAATTCTCGGCCTGTGTCTCGTGGGGATAGAAACGAGTAAGATATTTTTATCAGAGGCCATTTTTGCGAGTAGTTGCCTAGTGCGATGACGTCGCACCACATACTTCATAAATTACGCGATGTAAAAGGGAAATGACAAGCGAAAAGGAACTCGTCTTGTATTATCAATAATTTTATTCCGGGAGAATCCGACGGTTTCAAACGATTTAGCTTCGTTATAATTTCGCGATACTGTCACAACTTCGATCGACGTGTATGATTATATTATAGATAAATAATGAATTGTGATACATGCAACAATAAAAATTACATATATTCAATTTTTCTATATTTGAATATCTAATCTCGCATTTATCTGCAATTTTTAATCCTTTATTTAATAAAAATGAAATAATGAAAAGTGATATTTAAGACTAAATTAAAATTAATACTATTAATATTTTTTTTCACCAGCTCCCACACATCTAATGTTGGGGCCTAAAAATGCCTATTATAATTTTAAATAACACATTTCAAATTGCTCATGTATGACTGGGGCGTACATGTAAAGAAATGTCATTCACTTATACCAATTCAACTAGATGCCATCAATAGCAGGTTATATATATAATTGCAGTTTGCGGGAACGTATGATTATCGTGTATTTACGATCGAGATCTTACTTTTTCACCGCGTAATAAAACTATAATTGTATGTGAACTCGATTTTGCAGGCGAACATGCATGTCTGAGGGATAAATCGGAAAATGGCACGATAAACTTGAACAGTTCTCCTCCTTTCATTGAATCGTATAATAGCGTATACATTATTTTGTTTTGCCATCTTAGGGCCCAAGAGGCGTTTTGCGTCAATCGGTCGTTAGTTGCAAGTCTAATTTTGATTATCTACATAGAGGTTTGACACACTTTCTGCATTATCGTGCAATATCGTCTGAATATAATTAGCGTTTATAATGCGCTTGTTAATGTTAGTGATTCGTGCTGATTGAATCATAAACAGTTTATCATGCGGAATAAATTACGAAAGAGTTACCGTTCGATCGACGGATTATCAAATCAAGGATCGAATGACACATTAAAGCAGCACACGTTAAAAAATTAAAAAATTAAAAAAAATCACTTAATTTGCAATTGGATACAGTTGGACTTTCATAGTGGGTGTCATGTAAATCCAGGAAGATAATCTGATCTGAGTATCGATTTTTATTGAAAGTCCCGATGTATATCACATGGCTTCTGGTTCAATGTCCGAATGCCGGTAGGCATAAAAGGAAAAAAGAAACGGAATTTGACGTAAAAAGTTGCTGGTAAATTGGATACAGGAATTCGAAAGGAAAACCGGTGCCGCGTTAAAAATCAAACACTCTCTTCGTCCTCGATGTAAGCTATTAATTTATGCCGAGCACGTGCGTTTCTCACACAAAGGCAAACTTATACAGGTCGTGAACAGGTAGATCGTAAGAAAAGGCATTATAATGGCGAATAGTATTGCTGGCCTGGGAGTAGAACACGCGATGTAATTAACTTTTTCACGCGCGGTTCGTCGGCGTTTCTTTTTTTTTCTCCTTTCAAACGAATGGAACTTGTTGCATGTAATTTTGTAATTCTGATCGGAACGAAGATAAAGCGATCTGTATGATCTAGAGGGAAAAAATACAAAAATACATACAATTCTAGATCAAAATTAGAAAATATTCTCGACAAGTCAGCAAGGAGATATAACGCAGAACTTGAGTTATTTAATTAAAAGCGACGAATCAGTTCGCGCGAATCGAACTAGTTAATTAATCAGTGAGGATTAGTGCAGCGTATAAATTAATTTCCGCTCGAAGATATAAATCGAGACGCGTCGAGCGTAGACCAGAAATGCAACGCGTGTCGCATTAAAAGGGAAAAGTTAAAAACGCTGAATTTTTATAATACGTTTATTTCTCCATCCGACGAATGTCAGCGATTGACATTTCGCTTACCGTCGGAGTTTTTGCATCGGACGCATTGCGGCCGATGTAATTTTGACGAGTTCGAGTTTCGACGCTACAGACACGCATATCATACACACAGATAAACACATACACATGTACATACAAGAGAATGATTTTTATGTTACATATTAACGGCAATGGAAGATACGACGATTGGCGTGAGGTACATATTGTTCCTTATACATATTGTATCTACAGTATAGAAAGGTAATCTCGTCGAATTGTAATGGTACACTCGATCTCTCGGCTGAGGTACTCCGGGGACCGAGATAACCATGTCGCTGTTATCAATCCGCGCTCCCAGTCCTCGATCTATTCACGATCGGCGAGAACATCTCGCTCTACAGCACCTTCAACGCTTGATTGGCTCCGCAGCCGACGGTGCCCTGCATGAAGTCCGCGAAGTTGCTCTCGAGGACACGCATCTGTTCCCTCTTGTAGTCGGGCGCGACGTGCGTGACCAGGGAGCAGCAGTCATCGGTGTTGTAGACCAGCTGGAAGTTGGACGGCACGAAGGGCGTGACGCTGTCCCATCTGTAGACCTCCTGCTCGCCCTCGTAGCGGAAGAAGAGCGCGCTACCGTTGTCCGTACCGACAATGACCAACTTCTTGGGCTTCTGCCCGCGATCCTGTATCTTACCGTGGGCGTTACCGCTCCTGAGATGATCCGTTCGGATGCTGAACAGACGGTTGCTGCCCAAGTATGTGAAGACCAGGCAGGTGCTACCGTCGTGGTGGCGTATCAGAGCGAGATAGAGCACGTCCCGGCGGTCGCAGTTCAGGGTTACCGCCTGCGGAAGTACAACGCGGTATCCGCGACCCGTGGTCACGTCGTACACCAGGATCGCCCGCGAGGCTGCGTCGGACACGTAGATGAAGACGCGGCCGTCCGGATTGTAGTCCGCCACCACGTACTGCAGTCGGGACGACGGGGTCGACAAATCGTCCAGTTGGATGGTTTTCACGACCTGGAAAAGAAGCATTCATTGCGTTATCCTATCGTTTGCGTTATCCGTATCATTACACGATCGAAGAATCAATTAAATTTTTGCGAAAAAAGAAATTCGAAAAAATATATATATATTGTTTATGCTATTTTATTTTCATGTTAGAAACAATTTTAAATCTATCTTTCACAAATACCGAGCTAAAGGAAAGCATCATAATTTTTTGAATAAATTTAAATAATTCACTTAATTAGTATCGCAACGATCAGATTGTACCTATGAAAAATAGCTTTTTAATCGAATATTACACGGTGATTTGTTTGTTAGGGAAGTTGCTTGTAATTCTTCTTGCATAACGCATTGCGAAAAAAAAGGAAAAGCAATGCGGATTAATAACATGAGTGCGTGTGCAAATGACTAACGAAAAATTATGATTTATAATTTATATTAAAAACGTAGAATAATTTTTGCATTTTTTTTCATTAAAAGATAGAGATAGATTAAACAACGCAAATGCACATATTAGAGCATTTTTGTGCTTCCATAGTCGCAAAGTTGTAGGAAGTTTTATGGAAACCGTCTTTTTTATATCTCCAACGAAACTTTTATAAGTAGAAGATAAGATACGCCTTTTACATGTTGCAAGTTTCGGAAACGAATTCTCTCACCTTGCCGGTTTTTATGTCCAGGGCGACAACCTTCGGCGAGCATTTGCGCTCCGACTGTTCGAGGGTGTTTACGACTCCCGTGTCCAGCACCCACAGGACGTCCTGGGGATCCAAAAAGATGTCCACGACATTTTGCAGCGCGGAGCATGTACCTTCTTCTTGGAGCGACCAGCAAGGGAAGGGCGAGAGAGTAGCCTGGCAATTCTTATCTTTCAAACAGACTTTCGCTAAGGTCACTGGCACGCCAGGCTTGAATCTGCATGGAGAAACGTTTCGAATAAACGTTAGTATGTTTCTTAATTCTAAAGGCATCGCGATCTCTTATCTCTTGTGTATTATCATCAGAAAATATTAAACACGAGATTTTTTCTTGCGGCAATCTCGTGTTTCAACATTCAAGTTCTTTGAAACGTTATATTAATCTTCTTTCTTAAAATTACGTTGCTTCACAGTTAATATGTACAGAGTGCCATAAATCTAAATAAAATTTTATTTGCGTTCCTCCCGAAATATATAAATTATATACAAATTATCAGAATTAAATACATGCATTCTTTACACCTTACAGTCAATTTGCTACGTTCGACAAGTCAAAAATAAACATTGTAAAGTATGCCTTGTTCGTTAATCAGCAATCAATTATACAAATAGCGCTGCTTACTGATGTTGATCATTAACCCCGGTAATATCGCGTGTTAACCCTGTAACGCCCGTAAAGATCGCCCGACAATCAATAAGATTAATGATTGTGCACGTATAATGGAAAGGAAGTGTGTGATGAAGATATCGCGATTAAACGCTTTTATCGTCGAGCGAGGCGCGTTTCATTGCGTTTGCAGCAGCAAATATCAAATGCCGCCCTTCGGAAACGCGGCAGATACGATCGCCGGCCGTTAATGTCGCAACATTATTACACATGCGTCTGTGTGTGCGAACATTCTCATTACGGGATCTACATCGTGACAAGGCAGACGTGTGTCTTTCGGCCGCCATACACGTTGGGAGAAAAAAAATCCCCGTTATCTTCTGCGAACACGAGGCTTGAAATTCCCGTGGATATCTCGGCGAGATGATTACTTCATTTTTTTCCCGCGTCGGAAACTGCGATCACGATCGCGTCTCGCAATCTCGGTTCACGTCGTACTCGTGCCTCGTTAATTTCCACGAAGATTCTGATACTGCCGTATATCGATCGCTACTGACGTAACACGCGCGATTTGCAACCGGCGCACTTTTCTCCGTCCGCCGCGGCTTCTCTCCATTCGAACGAGTAAACTCACCGAAGAATGCGGTTGCCCTTTTACTCCGGATTTGAACATCAAGAGAGGAACGATCGCGTTTACGATGAATCGAAAATATAAATAGAATCGACCACTTCTTTGTACAGACTTTTTTGCAGAGAAATTTTTTTTCTCTTGCGATTATAATATGTATATCTAATATTAATTACTCCTTAATTGTTGCTTTTTCATGAGATTCTTTTGCAACAGATTTTTTCCTCTACATATATTTTCTCTAAATATCTTTGTGTGTAAAATAAATTTTAAGTAACGTGAAAAATTTTTTACATTTTTTCATGTTAAAAGGCTTTGCATTTCATTGAAAAACACATTAGTCTGCGAGACCATAAATCATTAGTGTAACACGAATATTTTTGCTGAATCTAATAAAGATAACGGTTTACAACATTTTTTTCTAGAACGACTCAATAAAACCTGTTTTAGACGTATTTTGACATACACATACCTGTATGTAGAAATCTTAATCAAATATTATATTACTAAATAAAAATTTATTACAACATAAAAAATTATGTTTCTAATCCTCTTCAAGATTATCTCATCGTATCCTTTAATAAAGGATTAATAAAAAAAAAGTACAAGAAATATTCAAAATACCCCACAGAAATATTAAATTATCTATAATTATAATTATCGCAACTGCGTTATAAGCTTACAAATTGTGCATCTCATACCTAGGTAAAGCAAGGTAGGCGTCGTCCTTGCTGATCACAACTCTGGTGGCGAGGACGTTCTTCCCGATGTAACGACCGGTGTTCTTGAACATGCTCTTCGTGGCCGCGCAAGGCCAATCGAAGGAGCCGCCGGTCCACTGGACTTTCGTGGATTTCTTTTCGGGAGTGTCTTCGACGTCTTTCGAAGCGCCGACGACGACGACGATGGCGACGGCGAACGTCACCGCTCGTGCGAAAAGCATCCTTATTTCCTGTGAGCTTCCCCCGTTCTTCGAATACCCGACCGCGTCTCTTTTGGCGATCGAATCAAACCGTAAACTGTAAAATCCTCCGGATTACGCCAGTTTTATAATCCTGCCACATCGCGGAGCGTGACGTTGCGCAACGTCTTTGTTTGAAAAAAATATTTGGCCGCGATGGGCAGCGAGTCGACATGAACACGTTCATCGAAGCAGTTCCGCACAAATTGCTATTAAACGTTGACGAGAAATTGCCACAAACGCGCATTAATTCTGTAAATACTTACGATGAATTTTATTATAAATAAGGTACGATGAGCCGACACGATCTTGTGATGAACTGATCACATTGAATTATTTCTCTTAACGCAAATTAATCACATTAGAGCCCAAGAATATTCTTTTCTACTTAAAAAAAAAAAAAAAAAAAATCTGAAGAAAAATTTAAATAGTAGCAAAGAAAGTTTCATATTATAAGTGTAATGTGTTATAATTCTAAAAATAGAGATAAAAAGGGAATACTGAAAATAAGTACAATAATGTTTGTTTGCATGTTCTTTCACAAAAGAACGTGAAAGATATAGAAAGTATTAAAATTTTCTAGACATTTATTATTCCTTTACACTTTTAATTTTCAAATAATAATGAAAATAATATACGGAATAATTTTGTTTTAGATAAAAAATAATTATATAAAAAAACTTAATTATAACACAGAAGTATAACAAGAATGGAATTTAATGGTTCTGTTTGTAATAATTCTTACAAAAATTAATTTGAAAGCAAAAATTATAAAATAAAGTATTAAAATGGAAAAGGATAAGAAAAGAATAAATTAATTAAACGATTGTATTAAAGAAATTTATAGAGTCTTTCGTTTAGGAGCGGAAGTCGGAAGTGCGATAAGTTAATAAAACAAACGAGATATAATTTCCTGGTACATTGCATTTCCTGGTTTACTGTGCAAAGCACGCTACTTTCTGTGTTTTCCTGAACTCGTCGTTATTTATAAATAACATTGAAAAATGCACAGCACGAAGTTATTTTCCTTTTACAAATTTCCGTCAAACTTGAGCAAGAAAGCCGTTGCAAAATATAGAAGGAGACAATAATGTACAATAAAAATGTAAACGATTTCAGTCGGTTCACAATCGGCGTATATATAAGTATAAAGCTGTATAAACGATTCGCACATTCAAAAATTTTCGCCCAACTGGTTGCACGCGAAATCTTGTAAGTTTCCACATTTTTTTTACCGCGCATTTTACTATTACTTTATACTATTATCTCGCTTAGAGTGTGACTAATCTAATTCTGTTTGTTACTACAATACTTAACAAAATCTCTTTAAATACTATATATATGTACATGTACACACACGCACACAATTTCATAAATTAAAATACATTATATACAACTTGATAACATCTTCTTAATGCTCCAAAAATTTTACGTAAATCTAAATTGGTATAATTTAAGAGCAAATGTGTTCTATACGTATTTATTCATTTAGATTCATAACGATTTAATTTTTATCAACTTCATCAACTTTAGTAACTATCTTTTGACATGAAATTTCAGAAGTTTACATTTGGAGGATATTCCCTTTTCAGAGTAATTCAATAATTAAATTTTTATTACGTGTTTCTAGAACACCGGGACATTATTACAACGTGTCATAAGAAACGAGCGCAGGATGATAATCCCGAGGAGCGCTCTGTGCCTGGTGATCCTGGCGAGCGGATTATCGTCGGTGGTATGCGAACAAAAGGTGGAGAAGCCATTGATGCCGGAGCTGTCCTTCGTCTTGTCGGGCTTCAGCTTGGATTGGCCATGCCAGAGCACGAAGAACATCTACGAGACGAGCGGGCGTTACATCCGCAGGAATATCATTGCCACGAGGGCGCAGATCTACAGGGAAGATGCGATCATAGCGATGCCGCGCTACAAGCCGGGTGTGCCGTTCACCCTGGGTGTCTTGTCGTTGAAGACGAAGGACTGCGAGCCGAAGGTGACACCGTTCCCCTGCTGGGCGATCCAGGAAGAGGGCAACTGCCAGGCCCTGCAGAATGTGGTGGACCTAGTCCTGGACATCCAAGAGATCGTGTGGGTATTGGACGTTGGTATCGTAAACACTTTGGAGCAACCGGTGCGCAGATGTCCCCCGAAGGTCGTTGGAATTGACGTCAAATCCGGAAAGGTACGACAAACTAATAATTAGCGTTGAATTAGGTACTTACAAACCAAGCTTTCACACAATTCGCATACTATAATTTTGTAATAATTATTACGGTTAGCTATTGTTTTTAATTGAAAAGAAACTATCGACAGCATTTGCCTTTGTGACGTCTTGATTGTGACTCATGATTATTTCGGGCAACTTCAATCGTTTGATGAAAGAAGAAACATTTAATTTATATTTAATAACAAAAATCTTTTTAAATTCTATAGGTCTTGGAAGTTAAAAAAAACATCTTCAGATATAAATCATGTAACTCTGATTTCAACAATTTTGTTAAAATCACAAATTTTACCTTGTTTCATTAAAACTGATGATGTATTGAAGTATGTACAGATACAATCGCTCTGGAAATAAATGATTCATGTTGAGACATGGTGTCCCGCAGGTCGTGAAGGTGATCGATTTGAGTAACTTGGTGTCCACGGATGAAACCGAATGTCCTCGTCTGCAATATCTGTCGGTCGACTATGCGGACGACGGCCAGGTATACGTATACGTAACCGACGCCGCCTCCAAAGCCATTATCGTTTACAATGTCACCGCGGAGAAAGGATACCGAGTGATCCTTCCGAACGCCGTCACCACCGGAGTCCAACGGAGAGACGTCCTCTACTCGACGCTGGTGAAGAACAGCGACGGTCCGGTGTTGTATTTCTCTTATCTGGGATCCAACAAACTCTTCGCCATCAAGGCCGAGAATCTGAGACAGGGCCTCACTCAAGGAGCGGTCGTGGAGGTCGGGCGGAAGCAAAACAAGATCGTTCTCCTCGGATCCGACAATGGCTGCGGCATTTTCTTCAGAAATAAGGGTAAGTTCTGTGATCAATATGCATCGATTCTTATCGCAGTATCTGAGATTCTTTCTTTCATAAAGCCATAAAACGTAAAAAAAATAATTGAACAGTTTTACAGATTTTTCCTACGTTTCTCAGAATGAGGGAAAATAATTTGCGTTACTACTCTCTGTGCAGCAAATCACAGTTTTAAAAAATTTGCGATAATTACTTTAATCCTTTGGCATCAAATAAAGAAGGATGATTTATTTTTAGGCGATTCCACTATTTACATGTGGAACACCGAGACACCCTTCGTTCCGGAGAACTTCCTCCTAGTGCAGAAGGCCAACTGCTGCCGTTTGCCGACTCAAGTGGTACCTGGTTACAAGAGACTCATGTGGGTGATCGAGAGCAACTTCCAGGATTATATACAGAACACCGTGAGCTGCTCGGGCGCCTCCGTGAGCATTCATCCCTTGGTCAAGTCTTGCGACGACTAGGAACCATTCGATATGACGAGAATTATATAGAGCGATCTTTTATTATATAATTCGAAAACTCACAAGCAGGAACTGAAATTGGTAATTTTAGAAATTTTATTTCACGTTTCGATGCATTCAGATACATGAGAAACAACGAGCAATGGAGATACGACGATTAGTATAAAGTACATTTTTCCATTATTCACAGCATCTAAATTTAGCAAAAATCTATTTAGAGTATAGTTTCTACTTCTACAAATCGAACAATCAAATTTCTTTGCGGCAAAGTGATGATTATCAAAACATACAACGTTTCTTAATATATGCGACATTAATTATTCCATTAAGTAAAGTATTCGGTTGCCGTTTAAATTAAAAAAAAAAAAGAGAGATAGGAAGATCAAATTCTATTTTGTCGCTGATCTAGTCATGTAACCGGCAGCATCTTGCGCCTTGATCCTCGTAGATAGCAAGTTTAATTTACGAATATTATGTCGATTAATGTGAGCGTTGGAACATTTCTTTTAATTGCATATAGATAATTAGAATTGATAATTGACAATGATTACTTTTGCCACAATTAATGTTATTGTGACTGACACAGAGAATTCACCTATTATACTCTAAGATTGCATATTTGGACGAGTTGACCAGTGTAGAAAATTTCTATCGATGTTTAAATCGATATTGCCGGCACGTAACTGCCGGTTTTCAAGGCAAATTTTAAAATCTTACAATTATTCAACTGCTCAACAATCGAAAAAAGTGATTTATTGACGAAATATGTATAATTGATCATAATATCTGTAATTATTATGTAAGTGTGACCAAACGGCTAATAAACGCCAAGCTTATGTAAACGTATATATACGGAGACATGTTCTAACTTATGTAACCCATGTATACGTAGAGATACGTAGAGCTAGTTTCATTTTTGACGTCTTAAAACCGTAGGATGTTTTTCTTTTTATTAGCTGAATTCATTCTTTATTGCTGATTTGTAATCAAACTAACAATAAGTTAAACCACAAAATGAGACTAGACAATGAAATTAAATTCTTCAATTAATTTCAAACTTTAGTAGAATTTTTTAATTTAAATATTGATTGAAATGTAATAAGTTGTAATAAATAATGATATTCACACGAGAAAATTAAGATCGACTAAAAAATGAAGACATAATTCTTTGAGGAATTTTCGAGTGTTTTATTAAAATTAATACTATTTCGCACTACAATACGAAAGAGTACTTTGGTATTTTAATCGTTCTAGATTTAAGTTTCGAATTGCTCGAAGTATTTTTCTTCGTTGCACCGGGACATTTCGAATTCACTAGGCCCCATACGTTTCTTCGCGCATCCATTATGTAATCGGTTATGCACGGGACGTCATCGTTTTGTACCAGGACCGAATGACTCTGCGCCTGAAAGGACAGATCAATCAATTATTCGCAATGTGGCTTTTAGAGGGGATTGAATTAAATAATTTACGTTCAAAGGAAGCTTAGTGTCCCATCGCACGCTGGCTCTCTCTGAAGTCATAAAATAGTGCAGACCGTCTTTTAAATCGCCGAACAGCCCTACGGAAGAGCCTAATTTCTTCCCAAGCCAAGTCACTGTTACATTTTGTACTTCCTGAAACAATATAATACGACTTAAAAAGCGAAACAACGTCAGGATTATCTTTAAAAATGCAGACAATGGAAAATTACACATGTCTGTATTCTTATTTTTTAATTACTATAAAAAATTGCCGATTTAATGCAGATACGTAGATCAGTCAATCCGATGAATAATAACGAAAAATATCTAGACTTATAGCACATACGCGCGGTGATGACGCTGTCCGTAATAGTTTATCCGTACTAATTCTCTTCAGATTGATGCCAAACAGATCATGCGAATTATGTCCTGTCATGTACAAGATCGAATTCCTCGAAGAAACAGCAAGGTCGGTGGATTGTACGCGTGGAATTTCGGATCCGTGTAACATTCTCAATTTCCACCACTTGCGTAATCCTGGAATTCGTATATCGCAATCGACATAGAAAAGAGTGTAATAATGCTCATACAAACTTTCTTCGGCAGTAAGTAAATTACCCGAACTATAAACAACGATCGTTTCGTCACCGGCATCCCCGATATAGCCACGAAATCCCCATTGATCTTCAAACGGATCAATCACAAGAGATCTCAGTTGCTTTGAAGACACTTTAGTCAGCTCAGCGGATGACACCTTTAAACATTTTTGGTTAATAAATAGAGTTATTATTTAAATATTTATTCATCTTTAGAAATAAAATCTAAATTTGAAGAAGATTAAATGACAATTTTAAAGTTGTTTTACACGCAGACTATGCAGATCTTTCAAATCCAATCAAAAATATTTTCATAACTTTGCTAAAAATACAAAAAAAATTATATATACATATACATAATGTTAAAAATATAAAAATATTTTTGGATGAATTTCTTTCCGTGAAAAATGCCAAACATCGTAGAGTGGATCGTAAAATAAAAATTTATTTGTTTGTTAAATTGTAAAATACAAACGTTAAATTGAAACGAAAGCAGAAGTTTCCGAAAAGTGCTAATGAATTGAAATTTTCATCTCGCAGATTAATTAATGTATACAAGCCTAGAATTGAAAGAAAATGTAATTATATTAATACAATTAATGTATGTGTTATAATAATACATTAATGAATAATGTAGATAAGCCTAGGAATTAAGAAAATTATATTAATACATTAACGTATATATTATTATTGTAATACACTAATAAGTAAGTGTAGATAAGCCTATAGAATTGAGAGAAAATGTTTAGTTTAATAGATACCAATCGGTCGTTTCGTTTCAAGTCGTAAATGACGAGTCGAGGCCAACGATCATGTCTATCGGGTGCGTCCAGAACCCATAATCGTCCTCGAGCGTCTACGTCTAATCCAGTTACGGATACAAGAGTTTCATAATCGCGCTTTGACGATCCGTCCTTAGGGAAAACCTTTGGGGAGATTGCTGCGTTTGCAACATTTAATGGCAAATTAATTTCAGGCCAAGAAACTTCTACCAGAGTTGGCTTCCATTCTTCTTCCATTTCATTTGCCGATCTGATATGTACATACATACACTTGCAATAATATATTTAAGAATGTAAACTTCAATTTTTCATTGAGAGAAAAATTTTTTTTTAACTTCGCTCAAAATAAATGCATTGATTGCACACGTAATAAATCATATTTATTAATTAACGTTTTATACTGTGTGCATATTTTTCACACTTCGTAGCTGATTACCATTTTAAAACTATTAATAAGAAATTGAGTGGAAAGATAATAAAATTTATACATTTTTTTACAAATATGTAGAAGAAATATTTAAATATCGAATTCAGTGGTTTCAGAATTTTGAAAAATCGATAGTATTATAGAATATTTTCTTATTTTAAAATTAATTAATTAATTACAACATATTTGATTATTGTACATATATTATACATTGTATGACACGGGTCGCGAATTGTTACATTCACATTGTTATTATTATAATTATTTGCCTACCTGGGAATGGCCAGAAAAGCGCGACTTCTCCACACGGCGAATCTCCATATTAAAACATCGTCCGAAATGATTAACGACGTTAAATTCCAGGAGTATGAAACATCAATTAAAAGAAGATAAAACACACTAATTCGAAGAATAAAGCGGGTCTTTTCCGAACTGATCATAATGAAAATGACGATAGAAACGGATATGATATGGCTTGGATCGATTGAACGATTGAACGATATTGCTTTCGCTGAAACGCATCGTCAGCAAGGGAAGTCCAATTGCTGACAACGAGTTTTTAATCATATCCAACTAAAAATTAGTAACTCGCTCGCAAATCTTTGCCAATTAACAAGTGTTTAACGTTTTTTACACTCTCTTCATATCATTGCAACAATAATAAGTGTTAAATAAAAACAATTTTTCAAAAATAATTTTTCGTATAAGTTTTATTTTTGAAAAATAATAAAATGGAGTGATATATATATGATTACGAAAGACCTATTTTTTATAGCACATTTTTTTACCAATTTGGAATCGTTTTTCCTCAAATATCAATATAATTTTAATTTCACACACTGTGAGTTAAAATAAAAAAATTTCACAAAATTATTAACTTTTATCATTTCCTGCTTTATAGACTGATGGTAATTGAAATAGTTTGCACCAAAGTGATGTTGAGTTTGAGATGTCGCGGCGGTCGCGTGTCTCCCCGACCGGTCACCGATGTCGCCAGCCGACGATGGTTTATGGCCGAGGCGTCGTGTGAAATCGTGGAAGCCCGTGATACGCGCGGCAAATGGCCGCCGATGGCTGCCGTGGTGAAGTTTCCGTGGCGGTGCGTGGTGTTGCGTGACGTCCGACTACGTTCGGCTGCGGCTGCGGTTGCGGTTCCGCGTAGGCGCGTACGGGACGTGCGGTTGCCGCGTACGCGTCGCTTCCTGCGTCGACCGCGTCAACGTCCCGCGACAACGTCGTCGTCACCGTCGCTGTCGCCGTTGTCAGCCTCGTCCACGTCGCGGTCGAGGTAACACCGACACCCGGGACGTGATGTGACCGTCGGCGACGGCCGATTCTCGACCGCCTACACGCCGAGCAGATTCGCGCGCGCTGCAGTCAAAGCATCCGACCAGCCACCCAGCTAGCCTGCAGCCAGCCAGCCAGTCAGCGAGCGAGCGAACGAACGAGCGAGCGAGCCAACCAGCCAGCCAGCCAGCGAGGTGCGGCTGGCGATGAAAGCCGCGAGAACCGATCGCGGCACGTCGGTGATGAAATCAGTGTCCGAGGGCGAGCTGGGCGTGGAGGAAGAGGTTAAACCCGCGGAGCCGCGCGGCGCCACGCGGCTCAAGCGCACCTTTACACTGCCGAGAAACCCGTTTCAAAGTACCAGCAGCAGGATGTCGCGGCGACGTCCGAAGCAGCAACAGCAGCAGACCCACGGGGACTCGAGGGACGCGAACAACGGCGCGCCGAGCGCCAGAGAGAACAACGCCAGGAACAACAACGCTCGTCACGCGGACGGCGGCGTGCAGCCGCCGTCGTCGCAGCAGCAGCGGCAGAGCGCGACGGGGCGGCTGCATGGCGGTCACCAGGGCGGCCAGCAGACCGGCGGCGGCGGCGGCGGCAATCAGGACTGCCAGGAGCGGCCGTGCGGCAAGAAGGTGTTCCGCCGGCCCTCCTGGAAGAAGTTCATCAACAAGATGGTGCGGCACATGTCGAACGTGGGCGCCCAGAGCCACAAGTCCGCCGCGATGATCCATCATCAGCGTTGCAGCGGCGGCGGCGGCAGCGACGATCTCGGCTCGAGCGCGGGCGACATCAGGGTACCGCCGCCGCGACCGGCGCACATACCGCCCGATCGTGTGCCGGGTGTCATAGGCCTACGCAATCACGGCAACACGTGCTTCATGAACGCCGTGCTGCAGTGCCTCTCGCACACCGACATCCTCGCCGAGTACTTCGTCCTCGACCAGTACAAGGTCGACCTGTCGCGCCGCAACAAGCTCAACTCGAAGAAGTATGGCACCAAGGGCGAGATCACCGAGCAGCTCGCGCTGCTCCTCAAGGCGATCTGGAGCTGCCAGTACGACCCGGAGATGAGCACCGCGTTCAAGAGCGTCGTCGACAAGTACGGCAGCCAGTACCGCGGCAATCTGCAGCACGACGCCCAGGAGTTCCTCCTCTGGCTGCTCGACAAGGTGCACGAGGATCTCAATCAGGCGACCAAGAAGAAGTACAAGATCATAAAGGTGAGCGCGCGCCGACCGTCTTCTCTTCTCTTTCTCTTCCTTTTCGCCATAATCGGCGAGACGAGCGCGCGGAATGCGCGTTCGCGAATTACCGCGGCGATTAAACTGTCCCGTGTAAGAGGGGAAATACCTTCCTGCCGAGAGCCCCGAATAGCTACCGTTCCTCAATTCGGACGTTTAATCGATCCTGCGTGCCTGATTTGTATTTTCGAAGACGCTTGGAATATCGAACTCTGTTACCAAGGCCTCAAACGGGGATCTCTCTCTCGAGATTAGTATTAATTGGCCTAATATTAATTGATTCAAATTGAGCCACTTTAGCCGGATTGCCTTTCCTTTTAAATCTGCCAGCAAACGACGTTTACTGCCTAACGTCGGAACGGGAATGCGGAATGGTCTCGTCGGACTAGTCTCTCGACTTTTCCCTTTTTTTTTTTATTTTTTTACTCCGATGTTATCTCGAGAGATTCGCGGGAGCCGTCTGGCAATTATTATCTTCTTTTTTTTCGGCGCGAGAATGGTATTGTTGCTCTCTTCTATTTTTAAACGCCGCTGGTCGCGTCGTCGGGTGTATTTTTAGTAATACCGAAGCGTAAGGCCGTGGAGCGCGAAAAGCAAGAATGACGGTGTCAACACACGTGCGCGCGATGGTCTTGTGTCCACGTATAAAAGACAAGCTCTCGTCTTGACCTCGGATGAAAATTAGGTATTCCGTGATGTCCGCACGACGAGGAGATAACAAATGGAGATGCTCGTTTAAAAGGAAAGCGTTTGATGTCTTACTCGTTTGAATACGTAAGGCATACGATGCTTTTATCGCGGCAATTATATTGTTAAAGAGGCAGTTTAGCGCTAGCGAGGAGATTAGGAGTCTCGGGAATGTTAAAACTTGAACGCTTGCATATTTATACGGTCATTTCGAAATGGTTTGGCAATTTAGAAACGTAATTTTGCAATTATTATACAAACCAGGTGATCGTTACGTTAACTGCTTTCGTAGATATATAAATTAATTAACGTTGACATGTATTTTCGTAAAATAATATATTCATATAAATATCTGTAAAATAATAACACATTAATATTCATCTGTTTAGAGATATAAATTTATTAACTCGTATAAAATTGATATGCAAATACATATTTGCATTAATATTAATTCTACTAAAATATGCAAATGCGTGTGTTTGTAATAGATATTTAAATTATTAAACGATTGATTTGAGAAAGAGTGCGATGAGTCGCGCTCTTGATGAATCAGTTCTACTTGATTTAGCCGGAAAAACGACACTATCGAGACTTATCAATAAATTGTCATTCGATATATCTCTATACTCATTTTGATATCTCCACTCTCCGTTATCTATACCGGTTAATATTTATTACTTCAGATATGTGGATATATCCGTCTGTACATATCCAGTGTATATCCACTTACAATAAATGAAAAGAAATAAATTTCACATCGATTACTTTCTAAGCATACACGGGATAACGGCCGATCGTCTCCAATAAAATCCGAGAGGTCCAGCGGAACGATTAAATCGAATATTAAGGTAGCATTCCACTTCAAAGCGCATAACAGGCACGGTAGGGCGATTAAACACATTCTTCGGTAGTCCGCTTAATCGTCGAGCTCTGGGGCGCCACGACGAAAGAAACTTTCTCCTTGGATCGTCGTGGCCAGCCATATGAGAGACGCTCGACGAAAGTTCGCCGCGGCTCTTTCTCTCCTCCCTCCCCCCCCTCCCCCGCCCCTCATCGTCTCTTCCACCCTATTTCTCTGTCCTTTTCGCTCGAAGTGTCGAGCACGCACGCGGTGCGTAGGCATGACTGCACACGAGGCGTATATTCTCGGTGCGGACGCTGACAATCTCCCGCGTGCGTGACGACTGGCGGAAGCCGCGGGACACGCGAGCCGAGTCGAGCCGAGCCGACGTCCTTTCTCGCTTCATCTCGCCCGACACCTTCGCCGCGTAGCGTGTGTGGACGAGCCGAGATATAGATACGATCGGTGTGACGACGGCGGCGGCGGCGGCGGCGGCCCCGGGGACTGTGTCTCTTTTAAACAGAGTCGAAGGCACGCGAGACGCGATAACGGGAGGTAGACGAAATCAATGCCGTATTAACACCCGGCAACGGAAGGAGCAGCTCGCTCAAGGAGCTCGCCGATCTTATCTTAATTGAAGACAAATATTTCACATGCTGTGACCGGCGCCTCCTGTAATTCCCTCTCTCTCCTCCTCCCTCTCCCGGGTTTTGCCCGATATACCCTCCTCCGCCAATGCGTCTGCTCTAACATCTTAAATCTTTTAGATGCTCCGCGAGTTTTAAGTCTTTACGCTATAAAGTTTTCGTTTTGCATTTTTAACCTGCAGTAAAGAAAATAGAAAGAGTAAAATATTAGAAAAAAGAAAGATAGAGGGAAGGAACGTAAGAACGTAAAAGGGATTGATATTTATAACAGAAGAGGGTAATAAAATGTAGAAAAGTTCGGACAACACTTTCTTAGATTCGAGAAACTTCAAAAGTAATCTCTGATGGGAGTGACGAAAGCACAGATTTTATCGTGTCGAAATTATTCTGAAAGTGGAAGTCTTTACATAAATATTTTCTTTTCGTATTAATCTTTACATAATTTTTGGTCTTTACATAAATATTTTTAGAGTACGTTATGTATTAATCAGAAGTAAAAAAAAAACACAAATATATAAATCATTTTGATACGTGCACGGTTTTTTTTTTAAATTTACCCTGCAAATCATGTTAATTATGGGATAATATAGTATTTAGGCAAATTTTACTGTGCACTACAATAAGATTTCGCAGTAAAATTTATTGTAGTGCACAGTAAAATTTACCTAAATACTATATTGTCTTCCAATTAACATGATTTTCAGGGTAAATTTTAAAAGAAAATTCTCTCCGTGTGTAATAATTTAGAATGTGTATATGTACGAAGAACGCAATATATTATAATATGAAAATTTCTCTCTTTAGTGGTTCCAGTTCGATTGTTGGCAACAAGTGTGTTGTTTTCGGAGCTTTGCTTTGAAAAATAAAGTTCGATGATTACAAACGCGAACCGAGCGGGGCGCGATAAGCTTCGTTTCATTTTTTATTTATTGCTTCGAACGCGAAACGAGAGCCAATCGACAAACGGCCAGACAGTCGAGGCCTTAACCCGAATTTGCTTCACGTTCGAAAATACGTTCTACGGTTTTCAATTACGAGATCCCAAGGTGGACGACGGCGCGAGAGATTGAAATGTCGCGGGGTTAAAAAAAAAAGAAACGAGAGAGAAAAGGAGTTCAGCCCAAAAATGTATGTCACACGAGAGAATCGCGGTTTCCCTCGAGAGCGCTTGAATTCTGAGTGTCCGGACGCGATTGTCGACGCAAAAATGAGTCGAGGAAATAATGGTTAAATGGTCCGAGAAAATATAATGAAGCGGATGATCGTTGTAAAATTTTACAGCTGATAATCTTATTTTTTTAAAGCGTGTTATGAAATCGTTTAGATTAAACGCGACGACTGTATCAATTATTTATCATTACCGATTTAATATATGTCACGAAAACGTCACAATTATCAATCGTTATCGCTTATATCACGGAAAAATATCGTACTCGATACTCGGCGATGTCACATTTCTTCTTCGTAATGTTAACGCTTGACATTACAAATAACTGAACGGCGAGTAATATAATTTAAGAACTCCGACTCGACTTCCAAGCACAAGACGACGATAAGGACAATCGTAAACTCGATAATCTGGTCAAAACTGCTTTTTACAGCGAAGGAACAGCGAGATAACGGTGTTAGACCGTTACTGTGCTCCGTAAATTATATGTAAATAGTCGAGGTTTTTAAATGCACTCGAGATATGCCTTTGTACCTACTTCATCTTCGTGCGCGATTATTCATCTCCCGCTGTTATCTTATCGCTCGCCTTTCGGCTGCGGTTCAAATCGTTTGCTGAGTTAGCAAAGATAAGGGGGAGGGCCCGCATAACAACACCGAAACCGCCCGATCGTTCGAATTGGGTATCAATAAACCTCGTGTCGCTTATTAAACATGTCATTTCTGCGAAGTTACGACTCGCGACAAAACGTGCTCGATTATCGGCGAATACAAAACAGCTATTAATATCGAAGCCACGTCATCGCATTTTTATCGCGCCGCTCTCGATTTTTAGATCTCCCCGCGATCTCGAGCGGAGACGGCGTTGCACCTGATGTCTAAGTGAATTCTCGCTCCGAGTTGTCTCTCTGCAGCTCCGAGAAACCGTATCGCACCCCGCAATAACCGGCGCGGGCGCGCGACACACATTTCGCGCGAGCGGATCGTCGCGTCGCGACGCGCGACGTGACGCGACGCGAAGTCGAACGCGAGGAAAATCGGAGTCGAGCGCACGGTATACCGACGGGGAGCCCGCGGTACCGTAAACGAGGACCGGCCTTGAACGGGGCCACGGAGATCCAGTTATCAGTCTCGCGCCGCGCCGTGCGCTTTTTCGCGAATTACGGCGCATATATGTGGGCTAACTGCTGTCATCCGGCGCCGGCGCGTTTCGCACTTCGGGCCCGCCGCCGGTCTCTTGTCAGATAGCTCTGTGCAATCGGAGCACATGTGCACTCCGTCTACAAAGTGCCGTAGTGTATTTTGGAGATGGAGTTAATGATGCAGGCGACGAATCCCTTCCAATTTGCCCATTATTAGCTTTAATTATTTATTCCGAATAATCTGTGGCAATAACGTAATCGGATAAAACGTAATGCACATGAATAATTAGTATTTTGATGTGAATTATAGTTTCAGTCTTCTCATCGAATTTGAATTATGTCACAAAGAGGAGAACGTAATCCTCTATGTTGCCCATAATGTGATCTGCAGTCTAATCTCAGTCGATCCCATTGTGACCGCGAATGCAGCGAAATGTTCTATACCTTCGCAAAAACCGGTTACTTCAAATGTCAATAGTCAGTTCCAGACTCCTGTTCGAGAAGAGATGAGCGAGTTGCATGTATCCGATACGGATAGTATGAATGTATAACTCGTTTTCTACCGCAAGAGGAGGGGGGAGGGGGGTTAACGTAATTGTTAGCAAAATATTTACGTAACGATATTTATAGCGTAGAATCCGTCCGAGAGCGACGCAGATGCGAAAAAAATGAAAAGTTGCGCCCATCCATCCTTGCGTGACTCGTTTTTTCCATCTCCTGCGCTTCGTATGCGCACGAATGTAAACTGGACGAACGTGAACTGTAAAATAGACCAAAAAAAAAAAGGAAGAATAGCGTTGTTCATGCGCATATTTCGAATTCCACGCGTCGATGGGGCCGGGTTACGCACGCACGTATGCGCGTGCACGCATTCAAAAATATTGCATCACTGGCCGTGAATCGCGGGCAATCGACGCGGCTCACGTGAGCGTCGCGTAAACAAATCCGTGACGGGAAGAAAGATCGCTTTTTGTGTCGGGGAATCGCATACCGCGAACTTTTATCGCATTGGACGTATCAAGTGGCACTCTATATTTATTGATATCTCTTACTAAGGAAAATAACCTACGCACGAGAGAATAGATTCAATCTTCTTGTTTTGTATCTTAATGAAGAGAGAGGGGAGAGAGACAGATTTAATTTCTTATAATAAAATTGTTGAGACAAAACTTTTGATTTTCCCAGTAATCATATGTACGTACATAATGGTATCTTATTACAAACCATGACAATGTATCGTTAACGTAAATCATACATCTTTTTCTCGGTAAATATAACGATATGAAGTAATTGAACAAAGAGAGGGAGAGAGAGAGAGGAATGTTTTGTTTTTATTTCGTGAAAGAACTGTGTAAAAGCGTTCGCTTACGTTCAAAGTGGAAACATTTTCTTTTTTTAAATAACAGCGATAGTATTGAAATATCTCGTATCCGAAGGAGCACGTTATGTTTGTTTTCAAAACGGAATGTATACGTTTTAAACATTTCTAATGTATATTCAGCTGAATCGCATGGTTAAATATAATGAATAACTTAGAGTTATTCATTTTTGTAACGCATATGTATTTCTAAATAGCGCATGTATATAATTTATAATTTCGTACATTATGTCTGTTGAGTAATAAAGTCGTCTATCTACGTTGATGATTATCAGTAAGCGCTTTCAAATATAAATCAATCGCGATAAAAACGAAAGATTGTTGTGAAATCGGAAGATGCGTTAGTGTGCTCTTATTTTAAAACAGATATTCTTCTCTGTACTTAGCCGTTTTATTTTATTCTTTTGTTTGTTCATATGACTCACTGCGCCGATGGAAATCGACAAGTGGAATTTGTGACACGCGACTTATCCGGTTCTTCTGATTTTTTACGAAGCAGTCACAAATTGTGCGACTAACTTTACGAGAAAGTATGCTCCTCGAGGAAAATATGCCAAGCAAAGTTTCTACCACGATGTCTAAATCGAATCGATGTAAAATTTCAGCTTTGCGCTTTCACGTTCTATACGAAGTGAATTAAATAAATGTAACATAATATTATGTCGTGTTGAAGTATGAAACGAATTTACATCGCGATCAAGAGAGAATCTCGCAAATCAGTTGGAAAATTGAAGTGCGATTTTACGGGAAGCATCATGCAGTGTGTCGCGGGATGAAGAAAAATGTAAAAACCCGCAATCGCTCGTATCGCGCCGGCATCATTCGATATCTATCTCGTAATGCGTCAATAAGTAACTCGCTCCTTATTGCGAGAACGCGGTCGCGCTAAACAGATCGAAGAGCGTTTCTAATGCATTCTCCGGCTGGATCTATTAGCGGAATCCTTTTAGGAAGATCGCCGGGCAGGGTCGGATATTCCGACACGCCGGGTTATACCGGCGCGGCGCACCGGTAATACGCGCGAATGTAACGACGGTATTACGAGACGAGTGCACGTGCACCGGCGTGACATTGGCCAATTGTGAGCGCCGAGCCGTTCCGAGCCCAGTATATACGCATCGGAAATTACTTCCGGCAACCGGATCGCTGATACATCCTGCGCGATCACTCCGAGATGATTATCCCATTTTCCGCGATTTTTTTTTTTTTTTTTCATCGCGTGTTACAAATTACACGGCTTCGGTAAGCGCGAGCCTGCGCGCGCGCACGGCACCGCCCGCCGCGCCCGCCGGAGCTCTGCGTGTCGGGTCGCTAACGTTCCGCGTTAACGAGGGTCACCGGTACGTTTCATTATTGAAATATGTCGCTCGCTGGTATTACGTAACATTTCAGCGCGATCTCGCATTGGCACTTATCGGATATTATGTCGAAGCTTTTACGTTACATAATGGACGAGTTTTGTCGCGAGTCCGATAGTTGAATTCTCCGCCCCTCCCCCCTACTGCACAATATGACTTTTGAAACATTTTATTTTATCGCGGGATAAATTAATATCGACGTTCTCGATCGTCGCGCCGGGATCGCGATCTAATAATAATTTCTGCGAATTTTATACATTTCACCTTTATGCTTTTATTATGAGGATACCTCGCCCGCTCGTTGAAACAAAAATGTCAATAAGTATTCATTCTATACGTTCATCACTAATTCTCTTCACTTGTTATTATTTTGTCTAGTTTCTCATTTATGTCTCTCTTTAGTCATTTCTTCAATTTGCTTCAATTTTACACGATCTTATTGGGAAATTACATCGTTTATAGAAACGTCGGATATTTGCAAACTCGACGGCGATCGATCTTCCTTTCAAGGATTGTTATATCCCCATTTACGGTGACGAAATAGACGTACAATGTGCGAATGGCTGGTCAATAATAGACTACTATATCTTACACGATGTGCGCTATACTTGCCGGCAAGTTCGAATAGTTGCAGGCAATAAAGTTTTACCACAGTGCCGCTGGGAATGCCGCGCGCGTGTACCGCTACCTCGCACGGATTCTATCTCGTGCCGCGGCTGCTCTCCGTGAAGTCGCGCGTCTGCGACCGAGAAGAAGGCTACGCGAAAACGCACAACCTCGATATTTATTATCCCATTAAGAGGAGATCGTATCTATGCCATGGCGGATTGAAACCAGGCTGAAACCAGGCGGAATGCAAAGAGCGAAATCGCGCATTCGGCAACAAAACTGCGGAGGGGTCTCTCAACAAATCCTCCCTCGCGGCTAATTCTCGGGCAACATTTTGTTAATTTATTCGGCCGGAACCGACCACTCGGGGTATCTGTGAAATAAATGTTTACACGCGAGCGACGCGCGGTACTCGATCTAGTTGATAAAACATCGGAATGCGGCAGCGGCAGGCTTCCACACGTCGAATTATGTCATCACTCGATCGTATCGTTCAGCTACGCTCTATATTGAATAGCGACATCATTATCGTATCTTATCGCTCCGATTCTATATATATATATATATATATATATATATATATATAATAATATTGCAGTTTTATATAGATTACGTTAAGACTTCGCATCTGTGCGGACTTCCGGCGAGTTCGAGTTGAATAAAGCGAGGGGAACCTCTGCATGCCGTTTGTCTCGATCGTGCCAATCGGTGCATCGGATCCTGACGTTCGGTCGCTAAGTGCAACGGCTTACGTTATAACGAGCGCACGGCGTTTTAGCGTATCGGCGACAATTGTGCCGAAGCCGCGCGGAGTTCGTTAGCGCGTTCGGCTCTTCCTCCCGATGTTGCTCCTCCCGCGATCTTCCTCCTCTCGGCGGAAGGGAAAAAAGGAGCTGCCGAGCTGGCGGCTGCGACGGCGGCGATCTATTAATAGAGCGCGGACGCGTTACGGATGATTGTCGTTATGTGCTTTGAGCGATAACCGAGTTTCGCGTTAACATCGGAGCCGCCGCGGAAGGAGGGCGGCCGCGGACCCCTCGCTCCGGAATTCGCACTCCGGCGAGGAACGCGCATTCGGTACCGTACGGCTTCGCGTCGGCGGCAGACAACCTCACCTCAAATCCATTTTCGCTGGATTACATAAACCGCAAAGTAGAGCCGCGAAAAAAAAAGTAAAGAGAGAGAAAGAGAGCTCGGTTTGTCACAGGTTGATGCATTTGCTTGTTGAATAATAAAACTAGACGGGGTATCGTTATATGAAGCAATTTCATCCTATTTTCACGAATTGTGTATATATATATATATATATATATATATATATATATATAATCGTAAATATATATATATATATATATTTTTATCTGCCGTTTACCACGCTCTAATTCGTTTTTCCATTCGCAGAACTCATTCGGCAGACCCGACGACATCGTCGCCGCTGAAACGCTTGCGAATCACGTGCGGTGTAACAACTCCTTCGTACACGCCGTATTTCAAGCGCAGTTCCGGTCTAGTCTGACTTGTCCGAGATGCCACCGGCAGTCGAACACCTTCGACCCCTTCCTGTGCGTGTCGGTGCCGGTGCCGCAGAATCATCGGCAGATGAATCTCTACGTGAACGTTCTCTACACATCGCAGCAGCCGCGGCAGGTCAAGATCGGCGTGAGCGTGAATCAGGCGGCCAACGTGAGGGAGCTCCGAGAAATCCTGGCCAGCGACACCGGGGTAGACGAGAATCACATGCTACTGACCGAGATCCACGACGAAGGATTTCACAGGTTAAATTGCGATTAAAAAGCAAAAAGAAACTTTAAAAACGTATATTGCACTCTGTAGCGATGAAAGGGAAACGATTAGTAGCGCTGAGAATAAATTTTATCTGTGCAAAAGAAAGCACGGGAAATGCAAAATTATGGGGGGATATAATTTGGTAATTTTTGTTTTTGTTCATCTTGCAGTCTTCAATCGGCTTGCATTGTCTGTTAAGTATCTTAGGTCGCGATAATGAAACAAAAAAAAATGATCTCTCCTTTATTTTCTCCGCAGAACCTTCTCCGACTGTCAGCCTCTATCCGTGATTATGGAAAACGATCCGCTTTACTGCATTGAGCTGCCCCAATTGAAGGAGCCTACGGAGCAAGCGTATATCTTGTTGGTTTGGATCAACGTTCTCGTGAAGGGGGATCTCAGGCAACGTTTCGGCAGCCCGTACACGATGCAGGTGTCACGCGAGACTTCCTACGAGGATCTGCAGAAGCTTCTGCTGAAGGAGATGCACAGCACGCTGGCGGATGACGTTCTTACAACCAGCCAAAGCCCGGGGCTCTTCAATATCCGCGTGGCGGATCCGGCGGCGACGCCGATTCAGGACGAGCATCCCTGTATCGATCCCTGCGTGGAGCATCCGCTTTACACGGAGCAGATCGAGCAGGCGTTGGCACTTTGCGCCGACGACTCGGGTCCGCAACATGTGAAGCTGATACTCGAGTGGGACGAGGCCACCAAATGCAATATTATACAGGACGACAGCGACCAGATCGAGGAGCACGCCAGCGTGAAGCAGTTAAAAACCAATTCCGAACTGGGCGGCGCGGTCACCCTGGAGGAATGTTTCGATCTGTACACGCGGGCGGAGATACTGGGCGCGGAGGACGCGTGGCACTGTCCCTACTGCAACAAGAAGCAAGAAGTTGTAAAAAAGCTGGGTCTCTGGTCGTTGCCCGACATATTGGTTATACACTTGAAAAGATTTCGTCAGCAGTCCAAGCAACGGTCCACGTCCAAGCTGACGATGCTGGTGGACTTTCCCTTGTACGGCTTCGACATGACGCCACATCTCGCTCACAACGGTGTTCAGGCGACGCATAACAACGTCACCAGTTTGGGCGGTCTCGGCTGGTCGCCCTGGAAGAAACCGCGGCCGCGGCAGCACAATATTCCCAAGTACGACGAGAATGTGTACGATCTCTACGCGATATGCAATCATCACGGGCAGGATCTGCAGGGCGGGCACTACACGGCGTTTTGCCGAAATCCGTACGATACGCAGTGGTACTGCTTCGACGACACACGCGTGGAATCGGTCAACGACACGAATCTGATCACGAACGCGGCGTACATGCTGTTCTACCAGCGGAGAGGCCTGTCCAATAACTCCACGGGAAATTCGTCCGCGGCGTCGACGAGCTCGGCTGGTTCCGGCCTGGATCACTGGGTGTCGAAAATGCCGCCGTTTTATTTCAACAATAAAAGCACCAGTGACGTAACGAACAATAAGCAAAGTAAATCGCAAGAGATACTGTGCCAGGAGAAGATCGTCGAGGAGAAGAACATGACCAACTTCACCCGAGGATGCGGCAATTACGCGACTCTGCAGCCGAAGAAGAGGAACGCGGCGACGGAGACCGATATTGGGCAGATCGATCACTACTCAGACGACGAAGCGCCTTGCAGAAGAGAATGGGTACGTAAAGTACAACGTTATTACTCAAATCAAATCAATGACAGAGGAATTGATTGATTGTTTTTTTTTTTACAGCATTAAATGATAAACGTAAGTCAATCGAGTAATCTTCATTGTACATTAAATATTTGATTTGCAGGCCTCCCCGAAACCTGTGCGAAAGACTTCATCCATCACGTTGACGCCACACATACCGCCAGCAATAATTCAGACTGCTAGCAGTGATCCAAATACAACGGTGATACACGAATCCACGTTGTAACACACAATATAAGCCAGGCTGAGAGGTCTGGCTCGAGCAATGCTCAATGTACAGTGCCTGGTGTGCCGTGATGTTTGAACAACATCGAGTGGCGAGATTAAAAAAGAAAAAGAAGAAAGAGACAATTCCGATAGAGTATATAAATCCGTTATTTTTCGATTACTGGACGGGGGACGATATGCCGAGAAATGACGAAAGGTCGTTCCTTCACCTCGAATTTATATATATATAAACGCTTTCTCATATGGACGCCGAAGTGGATGACGGATTTCAGCGGCGTGCTTCTCTTCGCGCATGTTATTTCGAGAGGTGTAAACAAATCTACACCCCCTCCTCGCCCTTTCGAACGATGAATAGAAATACGAGGCATTAGTAATTTTTGTAATTGTATTACCGTGTTTGTATACAGCTCGCGTGGATTGTATTATATGATAGCAGCTAAGATAGCTTTTTAAAAGAAAGACAAATCTTATACTCAGTACATGAAGAATCGCGTATATTCTTAAGAGAAGGAAAGGAAAAAAACCTCTCTAGTGTTTATATTACACAGTTAGATATCTTGAATGCAATTCAAATAGGCATCTAAATTCTACTTATGTCCAGAGGAAGGGAAAAAGATATTTCCGGAGCGATTTAGCGCAGTCGCAACGCGTCTATAACGTCATTATGTCAAACGCAAACGTCACTCGTGTCATCTTACAATGAAAGTATATGACAATAACGAAAAGAAAAAAAAACAAATTTGTACACATTACAAATCCTGCGTTAAAAATGCACACATCTCGTTTTCTCCACTGATCGTTTCTGGACGTACACTGTGTAAAACTACTCGACCGTTGCTTTGAGAATCTATGCTTGTAACTGTAATATTTATATTATACCTGTATCATCCACTAGTGGCCTTATCTAAGTAATTAATACTGACACACACGTCACATTATTAAGCATATTAATCATACGTATTACTCACAAGCGTTTTATTTTAGATATCGAGACTGTTTTTTTTTTTTTGCGAGAGCCACCGATTTTGTGTAACATTATAATTTCGCAATATCCTCATCTGATTTAGACATCTCGTTTTAGGAAACATCTGTGAGAGTTATAGTTTATATACACAGCCTACAGTCAAGTTCTTCCAACGACTGTGCGGACACACAGCGCTCTATTTAATGCGTAAAAAAGAGAGAGAAGCGATCAATTTCAGAGAGCGGCTTTTCTACGTAACGGAGAACACAAGACAAATTCACAGTTGGTTTCTTATCTCTCGCGATTGAATATATACTTCAATCTCCCAAGTGTTTTAAACAATCATTCCAATCGGATGTTGAGCATAGTGCGAACGTGAGTGCAAACGCGAGCGTGAAAGAGCGAGAATTTATAAATATATATATATATATATATATATATATATATACATATATGCATATATATGTATACATACAAGATTATATAATGAGTGAAAGATATTTAAGTTATTTTATTAATTAACATTTATTACTAGTCACACGTATCGTGGACACGGGTAGTTAGTAACGATAATTAGAGTGCAAACGTGGCGAAATGTGTTACGAGTTACTACCCGCTGGATTATGAAGTTTTATAAGTTCCATCGATCGACTGAGGATGTACACACATACACACAAACACAAACACATTAAATATTACTTATTCTTTGAAATGAATAGAGGATGTATATGTATATATATTTATATATATATATACGGAAGAAAAATGTGTCATTCCACTTTTGTGCACGTTGCCGTACACATAACTTTGTCGGTTTCGATCTTACGGCCGTCGTCGTTCGTTTGCATTTTTTATTACACGTTTACAAAGAGAAAAGCGGGAAACAGATATCGTGATAATCCTATAATTTCGTTACGTTGGACCGTATATATACATATATATGTATACATGTATATGCATACCCTGTCTTTTTGAATATCTTTTTAGGATTAGCGGTAAAACTCTCTTCTGCGAACTTCTTTACTTATCGACCAAATAAAAAAAAAAACGGGACTTAAGTAACCGAGACGGCGCTGCAACTCTGATATCTTACCGACAACATGGCAGAAAATCGTGAATAATTTGAATGATTGAAAAATAAATACGATGAGACAAAGTGCGAGGTGTTTTTTTTTCTTTCCGTTTTGCATCAAGACAGCGTCGTGTTGGCTTAAACCTTTCCGCGAGATTACTTCTCGATTCGCGGACAGACGAGTCTGGGCGTTCAATTCCCAGAGCCCGAGTTTGGCCTCATATTGAAAATATGTTAGAAAATTATACATATGTTGTAAACTTGCCAAAAAAAAATTTTACAATAAGAAAAGAAGCGGAAAAGGAAGAATCGAAAGAGAAAATGCATATGTAAAATAAAATTTACGGAGGGCGGCCAAACTCCGATTAATTTAATCAATTTAATCGGCAGAATTGATAAAAGTAAAACAATTCGTATATTTAAAGCCAATAATAAAGTATTTTATTTATATTAATAAAATAAAGTATTATTTGATAATCATTAATTAACTTAAGCAGGAATTAATTCAACTGACAGAATTATTTTAGATAACATTTCCAATACATTTGTACACAATTTACCGCGCCTTTAATCTTTTTTTTTTTCCATATGTTGAACAAGAAAAGATTGACGATTCTATCCATGTTAACGAAACTGTAACAGTTTACTCGATAAGCTAATTGGAGTCACCGTAAATGTAGGCAAGCTCCAATTAACTTACTAATGCTTGTGTTACGTATGTACTATCTTGCTGAGTAACAACGATGTCTTTGGTTTGGTACGTAGAAAGAAAGATTAAAGATCAGGGACGACAGGATGACATGGATGGGAAATTGTTCCGCGAGCGATTCCGCCGGTCGGAGTCGCGAACGAGCCGCAGTACGTCGCCGATCGGAGTTCGGAGTCGAAGTCGCCACGAGTGCGTCGTCTATTCGGCGTCGTGTTTTCGGTCGCCCTCGCGACGCCTTGCGCCTCGTGCCCACTCCTGCCTGCCCCGCGCGCCGCGCGGACGCGCGTTGTGCGTCTGTCACGTTTCGCACAGCGAAGAGGAGAGAGAGAGCGTCGGAGAGCTGCTGAAGCTGGAAACGAACGAGAGAACGGAGTAGCGCGCGCGGCGCCCAGCCTGGCGGCGGCCCGTAAATCCTCCGCGGAAACGCGCACAAGCGGGAACGCGATTGGCCGCGACGGCCGCCCCACCCCGGCCGGCAGCGTCGCCTACGCTGCGTCTCGCTCGTCAGTCGGGCTCGGGCTATGGTCGGGTGCGCGTCGTATGTCGTCGGTCATCGTTAACGTACGCGAGCGTACGGGTTTGTCACTGGGAGGAAAAAAAAATCGAGGTAAGAGAGAGGTAGCCGAGTAATCCCTCGCGTGTCCGTTCCGTGTCGTCGCGCCGCTTCGACCGCGACGCCCCGTCGACGCCCCGCGATCTCGTCAGCACCGGGGTGCTGAGGGTGCACGGGATAGGGGGTGGAACCACCGTCGCGCTTCTGTCACGCGAGCCCACACCGCCGCCGGTGGGACACACGCTCTCTCTCTCTCTCTCTCTCTCTCTCTCTTTCTCTCTCGGACTCGCCCTAACCGATATATACGGAATACCGTCGTTCGCGCGTGATGCATCCCGTGCGACGCGGCGCGTGTATTTTCTCGGACGCCACAAAGAGAACGGCAGCGGCCTCACCGTGCTCGAGATAAGCGAGATCGAAAGAGAAAGAGAGAGAGAAAGGGAAAGAGAAGACGGTACGGTATATATAGAAAGAGAGAAAGAGAAAGAGAGAGGAAAGTGGAAGGAAATAGAGGAGCCCGATGGCGCTCACGGTCGTCTTCGTGTGTACTCTCGGGGATCGATACACGGTACACACTCGGGGCGACGGTGTGTGGGTGCAAGAATACATTACACACCGAGCCTCCCATGAAACGCGTCGGTTGTGTGCATGTGTGCGTGGGAATGAGAGAGAGAGAGAGAAAGAAAGAAAGATCGTGGAGTAGTCGGGACGGAGTCACGGAGTAGAATTTCGTTCTCGAGCGGGGCCCCGTAACCAAAGAAATCCCACCAGATGTTGCGTAGCGTGGTCCGAGGAGCTCGTAAAAGCCGGGTGTTCGTGAAGTCGCATGCGAAGCCCGGAGGCTGAAAGTGAGAGAGAGCGAGATAGAGAGAGAGAGAGAGAGAAAGAGAGAGATACACGTAGAGGCGAATACCGAACCGCCTTTTTCCGCCACGCCGAGAGGAGCCTCGGTCTCGCGCGCGCGGCGCGGATATACCGGACGCGGATGTGTACCGCCTTCTATACCGCGCGCCGCCGAGTTATCGAACGGACCCATTTTCCTCGCGCATGCAACGCGAAGGCGACGGTCGTAGGAACGTCGCCGTGCGCCGCGGCGACGACGACGACGACGGCGAGCGTGGTGCGGCTCCACGATATGATCGAAGGTGGCGAACGGGCGTTATACGGCGCGGAGCGCGGTTTACCACCGGCGATTACGATGGGTCGATGACTTTTTAGCGTGCGATAGCGTGCACCGACCCGTAGTAGGTTTCCCTCCTCCGCGACGCGTAGGAGACTCTATCGGATCTAGGAAGGCCGGCCGCGGCGCGGCGGGGCGTTCTCGCGTTTCGAGGGAAGATCTCGTATACACTTCCGGGCGGAGGGACGCCGCGAGATTAGGGGCGACTTCGACCCGAACTCCGAACTAACTTGAGGGGGCGACTAACTTAGTGCGGCAGAGTTGCTTCCAGCAACAATTTCTGTAACTGTACAATTCGTTTTTAATCTAATCTGCCTTTCGTATATGTCAAATAACTAAAAGTATACGTACATTGTATTCTTATATATTAACCGAATACTATACAGCTATATTGTTCGATAAATTAATTGGAGTTTGATCGAAGTCACCCTTAACCGGCGTAAAAGTCCGGTAAAATTGTTAGGAAAACGTGCGCCTCGGATTGCTCCATTTTCAAAAAATTTTCCTGAACTCCAGTTCGGAGTTCGGAGAGCGGTAGAAAATAAACCAATGTCAAAATAAACATTAGACTAAAACTCGCTGGAAAATCAATTTTCAAGTTTGATGCTCGATTAAAACAAATTACCATTTCTTGAGTTTCGAAAATTTGAACTCGTATAGTCTCGTATACCTGAGAGATACGGATAATCAGAAGACCTCCTAAAATAGCTCGCGTAATAACATCTTGAATCGTGAAACAGTATCCCATTTTAAGCACATTGGAGATCGGAGAATTGGCGAATTGGAGATTAGAATTCGGCCAATCAATACGGAAACGGATTAAAATTAAAGTTATTCGACTAGTCGAATTCTAATCTCCAGTTCGCAGTCCTCGATCTCCAGTGCGACACAGACAGGCCTTAAGGCCTGTAGCACATGTCTAGCCGCCTTCATGCTGTGCTTATGCTTTCTTATGCATTTCACGTGCTCCCGGCCTTAGAATGAAATTCATAAATATCCTTACGTATTGACGCACAACGAATCGATTATTGTTGGATCGCAAACAGATCGGTCAGCCGATCAAATTTTCTAATCAAGTATAGCGCCGGCTTGTTGTTAAAAGAGAACGCTCGAACCATCTTTCTTACCGTCTTCTCGGCTTGATTGAAATTTTTCGCCGACGTTCACTCGTTACGAATCGATGCTCGGAAGAACTACCGGCCGCTTTTCCGAGGAAGGCGCGGAAACGCGGTGCATTATGTACGAAGCCTCGGTAAAGTACAGCCGGTCTTAGAAAAATGCATGCGCGGGGAGTATTAGAGAGACAATCCCTTAAATATTGCATCGTGAGACATGCGGGCGCGCGCGCGGCCCGGAGCGTGTACGGAAGAAAGAAGAATGAGATGGCGGAGGAATGCGGAAAGTATGTGCCACATGTGAGCATACTTATCATTTATGTCTTCCTCCCTCCCCCCCCCCCTCTGTTCGAGCTTTCCGCGTTTATGGCTCTGTCCATTTTAGTCACGCTTTTGTACACCTTTGCCACATCTCGTCCGCTATCTCCTCTTCCTGAGAGGCTTACACACATATGTATATATACGGGGCTTGCTTTTTTCCTTTTTGAATGTGCAAAGTGCAGAAAAGTACGGGCCGCAAGAGAGCATCGCGCATTCTTTCTTCTTTCGTCAAAGCGCCGTCGCGCCCCCGCGCCCGTACTTTATTTCTTTCTGCCGCCAATCAGATCAACTTATCAGATTTTAGATTCGAAACGCAAAGTTAAGACGGATGAAGACCTCCAGTTCTATTTTAAATATATCAAACGTAAAAGGATTTGATTGTACAAGAGTAACCTGCTTGTAATTCTGAGAGCAATTTTTTAGTTGTGCGTATAAACGTCAAGAAATTGGGAAATTCGGTGTTATTTTTAGTTAAATTTTAATCGACTTTATAAGTAAACAGTAAAATTTTGTAAGCAGAAAATGTTGCCCCGATATAATCGTCCCGATGTCGAGTATCTCGATTTTACATGCAGAAAGTTCCGAAGTACAGAAATTTCGTGTTATCAATCGCTCTTATCGCTCGCCTCGTCGCAAATACGGGATTAATTTTGAATCACCGCTGAGAGAGCTCTCGTCTCGGTGGTAACGATCGCGTTTCGATCGCTACGGGACGGAGACGCGATCGCGGTTTCGCGTAAGCGAACTCGAGCGTCCCCTCGTCTAAGACCGGCCTGAATATTACAAATCCCCGTCGTTCATCCCCCGATCGCTGCGAAGTCGTCTCTCGCGGGGTCACCGTACGGCCTCCATAGGCGACGTTATAGTCACGTTATAATCGATCGATCGTAGCGGTTTGCATGTCGCGATGCCGACCGGCAGCGTGATCGGTCGATGACTTTTTGCGCGCGGCGTGACGCGCGCGAATCGCGATTCGCGTCGCGATACGCTCGAGTCGACAGCAAGGCAGCCGGATTACCGTTTTAATGCCGAAAAAGACCAATCTACTCTTGTACCTCCATTCAACTAACGGAAAACCGTCGTGCGGGTACACGCCGAAACGATGAAAATTTTATTTGGGCTCAACTGAGAGAGAGAGAGAGAGAGAGAGAGAGAGAGAGAGAGAGAGAGAGGATGCGAGAGAGCTCCATTTGATAATCTTGCGCGTAAGTGCAATATGAATTCATAAAACGACATTAAAGAATGTCCTTCAAGTGCTGATGAACGATAATAAAGGCGCTAATAAGTAATAACACATATCCAGACGTGTGGTAGACTCAATAGTTCGCACTATTATTAAAAGCTTCAAACACATTTATTTTCCGGAAGGTTTGTCTTTTGCTACAAAGCACGACTTTTTTCTCCCCTTCACTCGATACCGCCGGGCGAGGCGGTAAGCTTATACGTCCGCGTTACATGCACATTCTACGCTTTTATGTATTTAAAATGAAATAGACGCCGCGGGTGGTGTGGAGGTGGGAAAAAAATAAGCCTGCAGACGAACGCGAGAGAGTAAAATGTGCGACATACACGAACGGATTATAATAGAAGATTTAGTTCATTGCTCCACACACGCTCTAAAGTTAGTTTAAAATTTTCACTTGGATTTTATTTAAGTGTATATTTCTATTGTCTAGACACCACATATTGTGTTTTTTATCGATCGAGTCACGCTTCGGAATACTTAGGATGTAATCTTGAATTTATGCGATTTTCATGAATCTATTAAAATGTCGTCGTAAATATAATTTTTTTTTTCCTTTTTAATAAACACCATTTATTTTTTTATGTTAATAGAGGTAACATTCGGAACTTTAAGTGAGATTGTGTGCGGGTCATCGAGAAGAAAATTATTCATAATTCCAAATTCTGTGCATTACTTTCATTTTAATTCATGGACGAAGCCTCTGACATTTCTGTTTTCACTCTTCGACTTTATCTCGTGTATATATCTTCCAAGTTCATTCTTTCTTAACTCATCGTTAAATTTAACTATCGCGCAGTTTCGCGCGAGTTGATAACAGTTGATTACAGTTTTTAGTTGAGCTTCTCACTTTCGAAACTGGGGTATCGACTTTCGGGAGTATAACGTCTGCATAAGTTCATACGTTGCACGAGGCTGATGGTGTTAATAGTAAGTTCGAACTACGTTACACTATACAAAGTTAAATAAGTTTAGCTCCCCCGCCCTCCCGCCCCTCCGACCAAGTAGCTCCAATCCAAAGTAATTTTCTGCTCTTTTTGTCTGCCTTTGGTTAATATTTTTTTTTTGCACGCTTAAAACGAAATCCAGTGCACTCTGTGTACCTCGCGAACAATGCACTCTGCGCGTCGCTGAAAGAGAAGGACAGGACTAGGAGGAGACACTGACGGATACGCGAGCCGCAGGATGACAGCATAGGTGGACGGTCGTAATATAAGCAGCCTTCGTTTAAAATCACGGCATGATTGGCGGTGTGACTTTATTTATCACTCACACACAATGACGTGCTCGCACGGGTGAGTCAATATGAATGCGCGTGATACTCGAGCCGCAGGTGTCTTCCGGCATGACGATATCGCTGTCAGTTTTATCGAACGTGACCGCTCGAGTGTGAGTGCAAAATAAAGAAATTTTGGACTACGTCGTGAGCCCTCGACTTTTGTGCGCGACGGAGATCAATCCGCACAGCGAGAGACTAAATGATACGATAGCAATTTATTCGCGAACGAATTATCCGCGTTTATTATCAAGCATTTAGGATTTTTAAAATGCCGCGGACCGTCAAATTTCTTAAATCACATCTCTCGATATTTATTTACATTCATTTGATTTGTATTACAATTCGATTCATTTAAGTCGTCGTTAGGCCTCGCGAAGGATTTCGCATGGTCTGAGAAACGGATCGCGAGCATTCGTTCCCATTTCGAAATGTCAAACTGCGATATGTCACGCAATAAGGAAGTGTTTATTGTGTTACGAGGCTGCTGTTGAAATCGGGTGGCACGCACCGCCGTGGATTTGCCGGCTCTGAATATACGCGCGCCCGCGTAAGTACATTGGAAGCGTGGTTGCCTTCGGAGTCGCTGGCGCTTCAAGGATAGAATGGAATCGGGAAAGTGGGTTAATAAACCGTACGTGTACGTTGCACTTTATCGATCCGCGATATATTTATTACGGAGATAGGTATTTGTTGCCCGGCGGCCGACGGCATGAGTGTCTGCAGAAGCTTAATATAGAGAGTGATGCATATATAAAATCGCGTTGCTAATCGGCCGAGAATGTTATATCATGTTTGGTGCTGTAACACGCAAATATACGTTCGCATGTGGCGAATTAATTTTCATTAATATCATTACAGAAATCCGATTGAGATCCACGCGGACGTGAGTGTTTTATTTATTCGGTCCCGCGACGAGAATGAACGCACGCGGTATTAATTCCGATGTTAATTTATCAACGTGCTTTTAATAATGCAAGATAAATGAGGTGTGCCTTTTGTTATTGTCGTTTCCTGAATCTGACAATCCATCCTACGAACTAGATAATAAATAAAATTTGTTTTTCATTGTTAAAAACGATGACGAACGACGGTTTAATTTTTCATTTGTGCACGTCTAATATTTTTTTCAAAATCGTATTTAAGCATAAATATCTTCCAATTCATTTTTAACGTTATTATTATTATATAATATATTAATTTAAAAAATAATTGTGTTTATTGTTATTAAACGCGATTTTTTAAGCTCGCTTTCTTATTTCATTGTTATGAGATATTGAAATAAAAGAGGAGAGGCGGACAAACATTGAGGTTTTTCAAAAGTTTTACCGACAATACCGGCATTCGGGCCCATTAAACCTATTTCAGTCGATTTGATGGTTAAAAAGCACCTCGGGAATCCTTTCGGCGCGCTTTAGTGATGTCAATGAAGCGAGAGAGATGAAGAGAGAGAGAGCCGGCTGGCACAGACTTCATTAATTAAGCGCGCGTTGATTCCACTACGGAAGAGTTGAATCACTACGGTAAAACGTTTTGCGACACTGAGTGACGTCGGCGTATTTAACCGAGATTGAATCGTGACTCGCAACGGAAGAGCGCAACGCGGAAGCTAGCGCAATATGTTAATGAAATGATAATCGAATTAAAACTCTCGATGAGTCTTTTTAGAAAATTTGACATTTAATTGCGAGTAATATTCGCGCCCGCTGAACTGCCGTGGAGCGTCGTGGCTCGCAAAAGTGGCTGGTGGACGTGAAATTAAACTCCGATTCTATTCTCACTCTATTTTAATTTCACTTTTTTTAAATCCACGTCGCAAAAACGTCGATGATCTCCGGGGAATTAATATCTGCATTACTCGGCACGGTTCTAATCCAAATGCAATTCAAACGAATATGGCAGAATGATCGAATTTTATATATGCACAACGGATGAAAATGGATATTCAGTGAAACACGAAACTTATTCCATTTAGCTGGAACTGATCACGGCGGAGAAACCGATGACGCGTATCTGTCAAACGATATAGGACAGAAAAAATTTTTGCATGTTTTTGAAAAGTTTATTTATCTAGATTTATTACATCATACAATACACAGCTGTTAAATCTGTAGTGTCAAATTTAATCCCATTTGAGTCGCCACTGCTTCTACTTAATACATAGTTATTTTTAAATAAAACAATGGAATTTAATCAAAATTTGGATTAAATTTGAACTGTTTTCAATTATTTAACTCCATTGTTTTAGTTAAAAATAACTATATATTAAGTAGGAGCAGTGGCGACTCAAATAGAATTAAATTTAACACTAATAGATTTAACGGTGTTGGTTTAATATTATAATACTAATGTTATAATATTAATATTAGATCTAAAATTGTATACTGTCCCTTTTTGTGTCTTTATTGGAAGGAGCACGCAAAATAGTTCGGGTCGTAACTGCAGAGTCTGCATTCAATTACAGAGAACAATTGAAACTTAACGTAATTGGATAATAATAGAAAGTTTTAATGGCTCACGTTCCAGATTCGGGCTTTCAAATGTATTCGGTATAAAAGATATAAAACAGAGACGGTGGTGCGACACCGTGTAGGAATTATTGTTCGATTATGCAAATACGGAACTTGGAAATATATCGCGCTGGCGCGCAGATGCTCCTTCAATTAGCCGTCGCAAAAAGATTCGAGAAACGCTCTACGTTTCTAACTCTCGGTGACGCAATGTCGAGGAGAGACCCGCGGCTCCCCCCACTCCTCCGCGACCTGCAGATTCCCGTGGTACGGCCCAATTAATTTGATTATCTTCTGATTACAGCGCTCGCGCGTAGCATGTCTTGACGAGTAGGAGATACGCTTCGACTGGGTACTCGGTGCAGAGATAAGGGTTCTCCATAATGGCGGGCGGTCAACAGCTTCCGGAGCAGTACACGGTACCACAGTACGCGAGGATCTTCCACAGTCTGCCGCATCTGAACGTCTCCTTACATTCGGTCAATAATACGTTCAATCCCCACTCCGAGATCTATTTGGAGGTAGGTTCACACGGCACGAATCCGTCAATCCGACTTCCTTTGGCCCCGATTATCATCCTCCTCCCCTCCCCCGAGCATCTTCCCTCGCCCGTAGGACCACCACCATGGCGTGCGCGCAAAATCGATCTCGTTGATTTAAAACAAAGTGCTTCCGATTAATCGAGCGCGCGCAATCGGCGCCTTTTTAAGCTCCGCGCGTCGCGGATCGATAGGCGAATTGCACGGAAAATCCGAATTTCATACGATTCTCGGTGGCAATTTCAAGATAAATATTTTATTCATATTCGACATGTATACTGATGACCGTCGGAACGTCCTCAGGAGGGTATCAGCACGCCCGGCTTATTTCCAATCCGGGCTGGACGATATATTTCTGAAGCAGACGTACGATTGATATAAATATTTGATAATCAAAATCTCTTCTCGTGCGAGACATCCCGGAAATCCTTCCTCGACGTCGAATCCCCTATCCTCGATTTTTCGAACATTTTGCAATTTACCTTTTGTAAATATCGCTCAGGCGGACATTAGTACCAGTTAAGCCGAGTACTACTCCGTAGTAGTATCCGCTAATTCCCGTGTTAGTACCTCGAATCCTAGTGCATTAGAATTTCACCCGGTGGTTATCCCGCGGTGGATATATCCTCTTAACAACCACGAGGCGGCGATGGCACTTTGGATTATCGCCTCCGGCCGTCGACTTGCGACACCGGGTCGTAAGTAACTGATCCCGGATCGATACGCACATTGACGAACGGATAAGAATCCAGGAGGCGAGCATCTGAGGAGCGATAGGAGAAGAACGAGAGAAGAAGACTCGTGTCGCGCTTCGCGCGAGCGAAACCGAAAGGGGAGAAAGAAGAAACACACGATTCACGTGTCCGCGGAAGGTAGCGGGACACGGTGAGGACGCGGGAAAAAAAGGGACAGGGGGAACGAGGACAAAAAGAAAGAGAAGAAAGGAGGACGATAGGCCGGTGAAGACAAAGAAAAAAAAAAAAGAATGCCAGAAGGAGGCAGGTGGATGCCGCGCGAGCGCTGCAAGAATCCGAGGTCCCCGTGTGTGTAACTGAAAAGCACAATGCCTGGGAAAGCTCAAACAATGCACAAAGGCTTTCGCATAATGCGCCCGCGGCGACATCGCGGCTTCAACATCCTCGGGAACTCCGCACGTCGGACCGTCCTGTGAGTCTCTCCCGCGCAGCGTTCCTCACACTTTCGTCCTCTCTCCCGCTCCTTTTTCGCTCTCGTCTTCCTCCAGCCGTCGAAGTCGGGCGGACTCTTGGGACGTAGGTACAACCACCGCGGCGGATAAGGAGGCGGGCGCGAAACTTCGTCTCGCCGGCATTTCGCTTTCGTCATGCATACGGCGGGGTGGATTGGCGGAGCTAAGACCGCCGAGAAATGAGATAAAAGCCTCGGGGGAGAGGCAGGAAGAGAGCGCGGTGGAAGTTACGAGACGGTCGTAAGTGCGGCTCGTACGTAGTAAATATACGTAAATGCGCCTGGAATAGCGTTGCAATGCGGTCCTTGACGATGCACGACGACGATGACAATATACGCCGCGCCGTTTCGGGTATGGGAAGTGGAGGGCGAAGAAATTTTGGCGCGTTACCAATTTTTCGACGTTATTTGTTTTGGGCTGTCCGCTCTTCGAATCTTCTCAGTTGGAAAGACGAGAAAAGCTTCTTCCCTAATTAAATTCCAAATCAGATATCTACCTTCAAAGAACTTTTCACTTTTAGAGAACAGGCGATTGTTAATTTTACGAAATTGCATGAGGTAAAATCCAATAAATGGATTTTGTATTTGAGAATTAGTAATGTCTTTCAGATCTCTTTGGGTAAATCTCTTCTATAAGAGTATTAAATGTGAAGTTTTAAAAGTAAAGCTACAAAGCAAGGAGAAAGGCCATGATCGGATGTAATGTTTACAGAGCCTCGGGATACTGGGAAGTATTCCTGCAGCCTGGTTGATCTTAACTTTACTGGTATTGCTGGTTTATTTGGTAACGAGATGCTGCGACCGGAGGCCGCGCCCCAAGAAGTCGATAACCGCGCTGAAGTGTTCGCTGGCCATCCTAGCGTTGCTCTGTAGTGGAGCAGTCGCTGTTGGGCTTTATGGCAACGACGACGTGCACAATGGCTTGGTACAACTCATAGCAGCTGCGAAAAATGTCGATGGGATCCTCATGGGCGTCAGAAATCAGGTATCTCTCGTCTTATTTCTCGCAACGCACTAACATCCCGTTTATTGTATGTAATTTTGTTAATATACGTAATAAAAAATATTTATTACATAATGCAATAATAAAAGATTTCAATAAACACAAATTTAAAAAATAAAAACTATAAAAAAAGAGAGAGAAATACTTTCGTTTGTTATTAAAAATTTGTTAGTGTTTACTAGAATTTTTCTTTAAGTAGCATTGACCTGATTTAAATAATTTAAGACAGTTCAAACAATTTAAGTAGTTGCAATTAAAAATAACAGCTATATCTATTTAAATATCAACGTTATATGTTTCTTGCAGACTGACACTATAGAAGCGACTCTGAAAAGAAAAGTTCAGCCTCAACTAACTGCTCTCGGAGACGAATTCGACGCCCCGGTCAGCAATAAAACTGTGCTGGGTTGGCTGCTGGCGGCACTTAACGGCATGAAGCAAAACACGAGCATCGCCGTAAATCGTAGTTTCGAGATACGAAAGCCCTTGAGCGGTATCAGTCTTGCCGGCGCCATCGGGATGGGCGAGAAGATCGAACAGTGGCGATGGCCTATCACCATGGCGGTCCTGAGCGCTCTACTTGTCCTCTGCGTGGTTCTGGTGGTCGGTGTTGCCCGGCACTCCAGATGCGTCCTCATAACGTACGTGCCTTTGATTGAAATGGGAATAAGAAATTTTTCGGCGGTGTTCCTCACGTAGCGTTTTAGATCTTTGCTCGCGTTTATTTCATACGCTTAAATAAAATCAACCGTAGTAAAATTTAAGTGGAGGAATAGATCGTCTTCTGTAAACACACATTTACAGTCGAGGAATTACAAAGTCACTCTGATAGAATATCCTTTCAGATTTTCCGTGTTCGGCTTGTTTGCGGTTATCGTCTCTTGGCTCATGGCGTCCTTATACCTGGCCACTTCTGTAGCTCTAGGTGATCTCTGCGTGTCGCCCGACGGTTACTTGACCAGAGCCGTACCGTCGACCTTAGCCTCCGAGGTACTCTCGTACTATACGCATTGCGAGAACACGCGCAGCAATCCGTTCACGCTGAGATTGCGGGACACGCGGCGCGCGGTGGACAACATGAGGCATAATTTGAACACGGTGACGAAATTAGCGCTAGAACTGTTCAAAGATCAGCAGCTCCAACCAAAGCTCAGCAGTTTGTCCACGGACGTTAACACCATAGACAAACTCATGCCCGGCTTATCCACGTTACTCGACTGTAAACCTCTGCACAAGCAATACGTTCACGCCGCCAAGAGTTTGTGTCACTTGGGATTGTAAGTCGATATCTTTTTATATTGTAATTACAGTTTTGCGTCATCTGCATTAATTTGTTTTAATTAAAATGCAAAAAATTATTTGCTTTTTCGCATTTTAATCAAAACGATTTTATGCGGAATGCGGTGATGGTTACATAATGTTTTTTTTTTACAATGTGTTTCTAGGTACGGACTGAGTTTTATGCTAATAGCCAGTTTAGCTGCAGGTCTCTTGTTCACAGTATTGGTTTGGGTGGATTCTCATACGTGGATATATATACGAAAACGGTGAGTATATTTGCGCGAATATAGGGAGAGAAGAAAATAAAATAGTATTTTATCTTTACATTTTGCTATTTGGAATTACGTGCCACGGCAGGCATCGTACAATCGTTTGCGCATCTTCCTAAAGCGGTGTCTACAATGAGATTTAAGACTTAAGATTTAAGAAAATTAACCAATCACAATCGATTATTTTTCTCACGCGGGATAAATAATTGACTATTGATTGGTCAATTTTCTTAAATCTTAAGTCTCATTGTAGACGCCGCTTTAGGAAGATGCGCAAACGGTCATACGGCGCTTGCCGTTGCACCGTAATTAATAGCAAAATATAAAGATAAAATAATAAATTTCTTAATTTTCTTCTAATTTGCCTAATTGTATTTACCTAATAATCCTAATTTATAGACGACGCTTAAAATCTATGGTGGCCGCTTAAAATTAAATAATCAATACATTTGTTCCAGAAGGGATTATCATCAGGTTGACGAACAAGATCCTTACTTACCACCGTCGGCGGCGTCGCAGGCGATAGCAGCAAGGACCCTTCGAGGCCAAGGGTCGTACCCGCCTACAGCCCCTACGCTTAATTCGAATGCTCTTGGCACTCATAATACGATTAAGCAGCCTCTCTTGCTAACGCCGCCCCCACCGTCCTACGCTACTGCGACTGCTCGAGCACGTCAACTGCACGAGAGCATGTTAAAGTTTGTGCATGAGATTTTCAGTTTATTCTCTTTAATTTGTTTAGCTACTCAAACAAAAAGATTCAATATTAATATCGCGCTAAACTACCGTTACTAGATTCAATGCGTCTCCTCTGAATGTTGCTTTATCATACATAGTTCCATCATCATCAAGGATACAAGTTTTTATCGATATTTACATTAGTATATGCTTTTTGACGGATATACGTGATAAAATACATGTTATTGCATCATATGAATAACTGTGCCATATTCTTGATTTTATATTTGATGTATTTAATTATTTGAATATCTCTGTTTTTGGAACATAATGATCATTCATTTCGAAACAGATTGAATATTATTCTTAGCAAATAACAGTTTTGATTGCTTTATATAATATTGTTACAAGGAATAGTATAGCGCGCTTTGTAATCCTATTTTATCAACGTAAATATATAACATGTATAGACGGTTTTTGCAGGCGTGATTGAACTTGGATTAATGTTTAGATAAGCTATAAAACAACACCGGTCATTTTATGAAACAAAGATAATGCTGCAACTTTGTTCGTTCTTCCTCGCCATTTACAGAGGTGGGGGTATTAACGGGAGCGGAGGGGGCGGGGATCACAAATCGTCTCAGCATAATCAGCAATCAACGGGCGGGCGAGCTGAGCACCGTTCTGGACTCGGAGATCAACCTGGCCAGTACGCGACTCTGAGCAAGCAGTGCAAGACGCTAGAATCTAGTGACTTCTACTGAGGGCACGCCCCCGCAGGGCCCGGTAAATGTTTTCAAAAATTAACGCTCTTACGTATACAATGCAATAGAAAAAAAAAAAACATTCACATCTTTACATCCGCGTTGTTTTGCATTTCGTGTTACAGGTAGAGAGCCACCTTGGACGCCGAGCGTCGCGTCCTTCACCGGTACCCTGTCTCACAATTCGCACGGACCCGCGCATCTAGCCACCTTCCAGGATTCGCGAAAGACGCAGACGCTGGATCCGAAGAACCTGGCCAGTCTGAAGAGGGGCCCGACCCCGGCCTGGAATCAAAATCGACCGCTACCGCCGAATCCCGCGAGTCAGCAGCCCACGTGGGAGTTCGAGTCGCGCTCGCAGACCAATATGAATCAGTTTCGGTCGTTGGTGCGGAACAAGGCGCCTAACATACGCATTCAGGATCAGATGCAGGACCAGGTCAGAACTTTGGACAGGAATTTCACGCGTAGTCAGTTCAACGGCGCCGCCCCGCAGAACAACACGGTGCCGAATATGTACGGTACATACAATCGAGCGCAGGGCAGGCAGGAGAAGCCGACGGTGGCTACGCTGAGTCAGGTACAGGGTAGCGATCCTAATCTATATGCTGTAACGGAACTCTAAGTCGTAAAAACGGAAGAGGATGCGAGATCGTGAATATTCGCAGAATAGAGGCATCATTTGTTTCACAAAGAGAGAGAGTTTTGTTTTTTTTTTTAACGAAATTCTCGAGAACGTGCGATTCGGAGTTCCTATAAAGAACAGAAAGAGAGAAAAAAAACAGCAAACTGATTTCGGGGACCTGCGAAATAAAAGTGAGAGAAACCAGAGAGGGGGCGAAAAAAAAAAGATTTTTAGAGAACTTAGAAACTTGTGTGAGACATACTTTATATCCGAGATTTTGTACTTGTATATCATGTACAGTGATTGTGGTACGTCCTTCTACGTTATCCTCCCTCTTTGTTATCGCGTTCTTGATTAGACCGCGCGCGAAGTAACCAGGGACAGGCCGGAATGCATACTTGAAACGGCGTAAACGTGTGTATTTATATTGCTTGTTGGCTGACTGAAAAAGCGCTGCATGAACGAACATGCGCGGAAAGAAATCTTCACACAAAGCTTTACATTGATATATCGTTTACAGAGATACTGCTCGCTTGTTCATTCTAAATTAGCTGCTAATTTCGCGTGCGACGTTTAATCCGAGGGGTTCGGACATCGCGACTCCCCGGAAGGAGATACATACCAAAACACTGATGAAGGAACTACTGAGATATACGGTTTTTATATACTTTTTACTATTTTAATCGAGCGAATCTATGTTGAATTTTCCGTAAGAGATATTTAATATACTTTATATATGTGTGTGAAAACGTATACATATACATCTAGTTACCGCACGAATGCCTGGTGATTTTTACGAGTAAACTCTTTGGCAGAATTCGATTGATTATAGGCCACGCTCGATACTGCCAATGCTCAGGCGTATATATATTTTTTAAGTACAAAGACGGTGGTAGGCACAGGCGCGTTATGGGTTTTCAGTTTTTTATGTGCAAACGAAAAAGAGGCTGAAAAAGGGGGAAAACGATTGTCCTACGTAACGACAACGGATATTTGGAAACATACTTCCACAGGCGGTATTAGTTCAAGATACTCTTTTTAAAAGGCAGCGAGGAAAAATAAATCTGTCGCAAAAAAAAAACTGAATCTTATACTTCGTAAGAGTCGAGAATGAATTTTCTGCGGAGCGCAATCTTCCTGAGACATTCTGTAACACCAGAGATGTGCCGGGTATCTGGCGATTATTATTCGGTGCTCGTCGAACTCCGGACGATTGAGTCCGGTCGGGAGGAGTAAATTTTGTGTCTGAATAACAATACGCCAATTGGATCGAGCGTTGTTTACTGTTACAAGTATCCAGCGTTGTTTACTGTTACAAGTATCCGGTTTCGGCGATTCCTCTTGAATCGCCACGGATGCCTGTCTCTCCGACAATATTCGGCACATCTCTTCCTCTCTATAATTGATCTTACTATCTAAAAAGTTTGTAAGAGTTGATAGATTTTCAGCAATTGCAAATGAAACTTTGTACTGGCATCCGCATATAATTCAGTAAGTCTGTATATAAAAGCAAGTAACACTTAAGATTATCGAGTAAACGTGAAAAGTGTGATAAAATCGAATCTACATAGATGTTATTATGGATTTTGCGTGGAAGCATTTTGCCATCTTTTTTTTTTTTAATTTTATTTTATTTTGGTTGACGATTTGACCACGACTTTCGACTTGCGGAAAGGGAAATCGTGCCATTCCAGGAATACATGCATTTAACGCAAACTACTTTCCAGGACTTTTCTTAGGGCTTGTGTTTAGTCGAGTAAAAAATCAATTATATAATCGCAATACCGAGCATTCTAAGAGGAGCGTGAATAGCAAAAGAACTTAATCCAATGTAAATAATTGTAATATTTATTACAGAGCGATAGCTCGTAGACTAGTAGCATATAGTTTAGTTAAATGCTAATTTAAGTTCCGACGATAAGTATACATAAATGTGCGCACGCGGCCGCGTGCGCGTAATAGGAAATGAACGAATATCGTTTTGTTCACTTTGGAGATGAAGAAGTATCCTAGTCAGTATATAATGTTGTGTACATTCAGTAATAAGATCTCTTGCCAAATTTTTGACCCGGCTCAATTTGAAGAAAACAAAAAAAAAAGAGAGGGATAAGACACGTAAAAAGAGGAATCTTTTTTCTCAAAGGATATTTGTATCGTCACTATTAATACGTACGGAAGCTATATTAGTGCGTCATTGCAACCTCCCGATACATGTTCTAGATTTTAAGAGAAAAATTGCTTATCGAAAAAGTATACAAATATAATCCAACTTCAGTGTTTTAGCGCGGATACACGTTGTATCCGTAATATGTAACTATCCGTTGTACGTCACGTTTACTTTACTTATCTGGCAACATGTATTTTTTTTTTCATTTTCAGTTCTTCGCGATAGCGATTTACGATAAACGGATTTTAATGTAATCAACTCAATTTAAACAGGAGAATTGACGTTTTTTAATTTCAGTTTACTTTTATTCATTTTACCTACATATTCCGTTTATTTTCTTTTTTCTTTTAATGGCTTATAAAACACTGGAGGTGGACGTCATCAGATACTGTAACTTTGGTTACTCGAGATTTTACAGCAAAGCGCGGAAAAACGGGATCAACGTAGCATTGTTCAGATTGAAAAAACCTGCAAGGAAACACGTCGCTTGTTAGTCGGGTGAAAATTATATTCAAATATTTCTCTGCCAAGAATTCGACCCGCGCTCAAATCTGATCCGGGCGATGAATTGGCGACGAGCGAGACTTACAGGCGACCCGAGGAGCCCGTTTAACACGTATTTTAAAATAATCTAGAACACAGAGAGAAACGTTGTTAAACTCTTAATATGCGAATTTGTAATTTAGACGATTGTTAACGGAACCTTTATTATAATCGTTTGTCAATTTTTATAGTAGAAACGAGAGTCTGAGGCACATTGCACACACCAGTTTTTCTAACGAGTAAAGCAGCATTTAAGTTTACTCATCATTTTTATACGGTAAACGTAATGTGGCGTAAAAGAAGGCGAGAGAATCTGCGTAATAAACACGAACAAAAAAAAAGAGAGAAGGGGATCGGGATGATTGAGAGAGAAAGAGAGTACGTGAGCGAGAGTGTATACGTCTATTATATACATATATGTGTGTGTGTGTGTGTGTGCGTGAGAGAGGAAGAGAGAGGAAAAGAGCGAGAAAGAACGGAAACTCATTATTTTCAGAGATAATGGGAGTGAGATGTGATGATATACGACGTTGAGGAATTCATTCGAATCGGAGCATTTTCTTGGCCTACGGCAATTTCTCATCGCAGAATGAAAAAAAAACGGAAGATAATAGTTAATAAACGAAAAATCAAAAAAAGATTTCGCAGAATTTGATTACACGCACATCGACAGAGACACGAGTATATGATTGAGGGAAGGGGGAGGGGGAGACATGATGAAATGGGAGACCTAAGCTTTTGTGCACCCTTCAAGACTGATACTGGATACGCCGAAGGATCCAGGGCTCTAATGTTTTTTCCGTATATTCGTATATTGCATAAGATATGTAATGTTTTACACGTGTTCGGCATGGGATGTGATGGGACGCTTATATTTCTACCGTAGGGTCTTTGCGTGTCCATCGGTATATCTTCTGTTCGATATTTTTTCTCGATTGAAATTCCTGTGTGACGTATCTCTCCGCTATCATCTATTAGTGAAAGTATATACAGATAGTGTATATATACATATATGCTATCCTTTTCTTCTTTGCGTATTTCTCTCTCACTGCGCGAAAGAGATTTATTTACAAAGTAATATGTAGAGGCTACTCGACTACTCCAGAGAACTTACGTAAGTTATAACACGCGTTCTATTGCGTCTTTCTTTGTATGTGCGGTTATGCGAATTTTGATGTAATATAAAGAGACTTATCTCGGAGAGGTGTTGTGTAGGAGAAACGAATGGAAAACGAACGAAGCTCGTTAATCGATACCACTTTTTGTATATTACGATTGTGTCTAATTGCCATATTCCGGATTTAATTCCTCCTATTGTAACGGAACATGAATATTATAAAAAGAGAAATAAAAACCTAAGATCCATGAAATTATTCGCATTTGATGACGCACGCTCGTGACTTATCCATTACATAATACGCCACCAAAAAGACGTCGGTTTCTATTTTATATTATTTATTCATTAGCAATTGCTTTATTACAAGTTTTGGTACATAAATATACATACTGCTTGATTTATTTGCATCTTCGATATTTTTCAACAATTTACGAGTAATTTCCTAAATGCAATATAACTTATTTATTGATGTTAATCGTTGAAATATTTCTTCCTGGTGTCATCGTCGATTACATAATACAAGAGCAACAATACGGATCTTATTTTTCGACGTGAATATATGTATATAAGTTTCTTTGGCGAGTTGTTACATCTTTCGAATATCGGAACGCATTTTCTATTATATATTTTCATTCAATTATGTTCCTCATAAACTTCCTTCATTAAAAGGTAAAATGTACACAGCTTACTTTTAATTCGTAAAGTAAACGCATTATATTCTCAATAAACTTTAATTGCAGTATTGTGCTTACGAATGAAGACGTAAAACTTAACGAGTGCGAACTATCAATTTGAAAATTAGCAAGCAATTTAAAAGAAGCAAAAATCCGCGAATAAAGGGTAATTTAAAAATAATTTTAATTAAAAATTGAATGTTATACTATCTTGATACCTTGAGTTAGCGAGTAGTTAAAGTGCATAATATACAAAAAAAAATTCTACTATTCAACAATAAATAATGTTCTTGCAATATAATCTTTGATAAAATAAGGAATATATTATCTAGCAAATTAATATTAAAGAATGAGAAGAAGACAGTCGAGATTAGAAGAGAAAATAATTTCATTCTGGCCATTGTGTCGCAAGAAGGTACTTCAGTAAAACTGTTATGAATTTTGTCATAAAAGCGACGCCACTACAGTGTTATCAGTCTAGTAAGTACATGGGCCATCCCATGATTAAGTCGCTTAACAGCACAAATGATAGGCAAAATTGTACGGAGTTTGCGGAAAAAGGCTTGCGGAGACTATTATTTAGATTTACGTAAAAGCGAGAAATATCTTCAGCGAGAATCAGCCAGTCAAAAGTAGCAGCAGCAAGATGAAATTAAACCGTCGCACGCACCGTCGTTTCTATTCAATCCAATCGATAAGCTATACAAGTTACGGTCTAATATATTTCGCTAAAAACTGCATCTCCTAGAGGGGACTTTTTTTTTTAGCGTTTAGCTCAGAAAGCATTGCTCTTATCCCCAAGTTTCGACAACTTGGAACGATGTGCTCTCGATTTATTTGAAACGGTACAATGTTCACTACGACTTCGTCTGCGCGGATTCTTCCTTCACCTGGGGCTGGGAACTGACATTGCTTATTAGAGGTACATTCTTACCGCTCTGCAGGCTAGAATGACTCGACGAACGACTGTGGCTTTGACTGTTAGCGCCGACTGGCGTCTGCACTAGCGGCTGCGGCGGAGTTCGGGCGCCGGAACCGTTGCTGTTCGTGAAATTAGGCTGCAACTGCATGTGATACTTGTAGATATTCTCCGTACTCTCCACGACACCTGTTTCAATAAATATTACGTAAGATATTTACGATAAGATATTCTTATCATAATTATCCTGAATATCTCGCTAAGAAAAATACATGTTTTTTTTATGACAAGCAAATGCTGTATGTAAAACTACTGTTGTATAGAAGCTACAGAAGGTACTAATTACCAGCTTGCAAATTCAGACTGCGACCGCGAACACCTGTCTCCTTCGAAATAGGACTCCACCAATTGACGAAAGTTCCCACTACGGGAACGTGCCTGAGAATACCCTCCTGCCATAATTTCTCCGCGTTTTCCCTCTCCAGATCCGTCTGCGCCGTCTCGATACCTCTTTTAACCACTTCGGAAATGGTATCCATCATTTTGGAACTAGCTTCCACCTCCTGGCCAACTTGCAAGACTAAAGACAGTAGTTCGGCCACGTCTGGAAATAATATCGTTCGATGAAAGAGACATACGCGCGGATGTGGCAGCGGTGCCGAGAGCGCGTTTACTTGCCTGTGTCCTGTGTTACCATGCCAAATCGCACGCAAGCTAGACCGTCCGCGCCTTCTCCGAGGGAAAACGCGGCATCCGTGCTGCGTAGGGTTTCGACCAACTGCGTATTCAGCTTGTTCAATTCCTCCCTCGCCTGATCGGTCATAACGTGAATCCAGGTGGGTGGAGCGTAACGCACACCTCCCAGGCCGGCCCAACCCGGCATTTCCACTAAATGCAAAGAATCGTTCTCCGAGACTAAACGTACGAAGGTGTCTTTGTGCTCCACTGTCGCTAGCAATATTTCCTATTCAAATAACAAAATTACAATCGTATTATTAACAAGTTTACGATTATTAATTTGCGACGTTGTACCACATCCCCATCGTGCGTTTAACGTTAAATGCGACAAGAAAATTCGCTAGATGAAATTACTCAGAAGAAAAGAGAATCGTTCGTTTCGTGCCCGGTAGAAATATGGATCAACGTGATCTAAGGTGTTCTTACAATTTGTTGCTCAAGACAGGTCACTAAATTGTCTATATCTTCGGTCGTGGGCGGTTGATCGGGATTCTCCAACGGGCAGATGCGAATCGCGACACCGCACTGTTCTATATCACAAAGTTCTATTTGTATATTGTCGATGTCCCTCTGAAGAATCTGTCCCAGCCAGGAGTTCAACTTATCGTAATAAGGCAGCACGCGATCCGTGGCTTGGAGGTCCTTATTCGCAGACACGAATTGGAAAACTAACGCGTTGGCAACTACTTCAAACAACTGTAAATTGTTCACGGGGTTTGCTAGGTATTCGCTTAAGGTATAGGACTCCGTTTCGCCGCCAGGCGGTTGACTCTGAAAGAAGATGAATGATGAATTTTAGCAGTCAACGCTCCTTTTTTAGAAGACGCGTTTTTTTTTTTATAGAAACTTACCAGTATTCTAATACAGGAGAACTCTTTAATTTTATTGTACAACTCTTCCACAGCCAAGAAACATCTTTTAAATCTATTATGTACACCGTCCCGACCTAAAGCCTGCAGAACGGTCCACAAAGGCAAAGTCGGTAGTCGTCTCGACAGGGAATCCGCCATCAATCCAGAAACTAACGATAGGGTGGTATCTCTCGGAGTGGGCCTTCCCCCTTTAATATCTGCTAATCTGTACAATGTCTATAAGCTAAAGTTAAGGAAAATCGAAGCGACGATTGATTAGTATAATATAAAAGTATTAAATGTCAAAAGAATATATAACCAAGTCATAGAGAGATGTACACTCGCTCACTAAAAGGTTGCGACACTTTTTTTTTATAGGTTTCTAATTTATATTTAATATACGTAATATATACTTTATAGATAACTAATATTTTGCAAATGCCAACCACGATGTACTATCTTTAGTCTAGAGGCAGTATAACACCAATCGTGGTCCGCATTTGCAAAATATTAGTGCGTTTTGAAACCTATAAAAAAGAAAGTGTCGCAACCTTTTAGTGAGCGAGTGTACGTGATGTACATACACATATCCAACAATGTATTAATAGTTTTAGAGGTTTACATTTCATTATTTACATACTTAAATGTTCGATAATAAATAACAACTTTTTCACAGTTAAGAACATGCACTAAATAAT